ATGATGAACTTTCTAATGTTTTTAACTTTCATCTCACATATGATGACAAAATCTTAAATAATGGCGATGATGCCTGAACAAAATAGAATGATGATGAAAATGAAGAGATGAAGTTGGTACGTTGGAAAATGTAAGACGCTGGAACTGAAACAATGAACGCCATCAACATATAATCATGAAGATTATAGCGGATAAGTCGGCGTTATTTTATGGCATTTCAGTTATTTTCCATTTTAGTATTAGTTGTGTTTCTTTTGCTGCATATATACACACATCCAAACACGCACATTCACTTAATTGTTTACTTATTCATAAATGTACTACATACATCTGGTCAATATCTTAAAAAGAATTTAAAAAAAAATACAGTAATCTGTCGAACTAACGTTTGATATTTCTAAATAACGGATATATAAACGAATTAAAATGTTTGAAAAATATGTTGTGGTGTACAAGAGGTACAAACAAATGAAAAGATTGCATACATTCTTTTAAAAACGAACAGTAACTCATCAAAGTACAGAATACCGCAATAAATGATTTCTTATTAAAAAAATATTGCACTTATATTTGTATAAGTATCATTCGTACCCTCTATCTTACTTTTTTTTAGTGAAAGTGTTGATGTTAGATAGCTATAATTAAAGGAGAAAAAATCACAAGAGTCAGTCAGTGGTTCACCACTCAATCAAATATATTGGTATGAAGTGTTTGATGAAAATGATAGTGATAAAGATGATTGTAATGGCACTAAAAATGTGATAATGAAATGATAATGACGATGGTGACGATGCTGATTTGTTGAAGTTGTTGAAAGTTTTGTGACTCAGTGATGTGTAAAAAAGAATATTCTGTAGAAAGTTAAAATAAAATGCATGAAAAACAAAAATTGATAACAGGAGTAAAAAAAATTGTGAAAGAAAATTAAGTGGTAGAAACGAAAATCATCTGAAAAAATTTTTTGAAAGAAGAGTCGAACATGTTTGTAGAGAGCATACAAAAAAAATGGACGTTGTTTGCGAAGTTTTGAGGTTTTTAAAAGACAAAAAAAAAGGTTTCAGGGGTTGTGTAAATAATGGGAGACAGACGAACATTTGCCCAATTAGTGCGAGTGCTCTGAAAATTTAAAAAGTTTCATGAAGAGATTTTGAAACATCATAACAAAACGAAGCATTTGAATAAACAGTTAACAAAATAGTGGTAAAATACAAAATTTTGAAAAAAAAATTGTTATGTGAAGCTGAAAAATAAATAAGTTAAAAATTGTTTGAAATGTTGAACATTTGTTAAAGTATTTAAAAATTCATGAAAAAAATGTGAGAAAATGAGAAAAAATACATTTCAAACAATTTAAAATAAAAAAAAAAACAAAATTTTCTAAAAAAAATATAACAAATGTTGGAAAATTAAATTGTAGGAGTAGTTAAAACAATTTTTAATGGAGTTTGCACAAATTCCAAAAATATTAACAACAACGTGAGATGAAAAAACTTTAATAAAGTTTTTAAAGCTTATAAAATATGAAAAACAATCGAAAAGCTGAAAAACAAGTTTAAAAAACAAACGAACAAATAATATTAATTGATCAACATATGATAATAACTAAAAAAAAAGAAAACAACTGAACTAGGGTAAGAGAACGAACAAAGGGGAAAACAAACAATTGAGCGAATGAACAAACAAAAAATAATTTTTTCTCCGCACGAACGCTCCATTCTTCCAAACACGTCACTTTCTGTTCCTCTCTGGTAGTCAGAAACGCTACTGTCAACGCTGCTGTTGCAACTACCGCAATTTGTTATTTCTGCTACCATTACTTTCTTCATCTTTGTCATCGTTTTCGTCATCGTCGTCTCAATGCTGGACGTTTCATTATCATCACCATCAATTTTACATCATCTTTTTTTAACTCAACGTTAACACAAGCAACTTAATTCGACCCTCATTGTAGTTGTCCCAATACAATCACCATCACTATATACTCTTTATTATATTTGTTCACTTATTTATTTCATTGTTTATCCGTTTAATTAATTATTAGTTGAATTGAGTGGGTAATTTACTTGCTCACCACGGTTATAGTCATCAATCTCAGGCTCGCAACAGCACAGTTTACAGACTTTCAGAGTAGGAAGTGGTGCCAAGATTGCGCCCACAGTGATTTATTGAGGCAACTAAGCCATATTTTTTGTAAAAAATGCTGGAAACGATTTTCAGAATAGCAAAGTTTGATGCATACGATTAACATTTGTATTGTTTCACCACATTTTGTGATCGTCGTTATTGCAACTGGCATCACTTTCATCATTTCCATCTTTATCATCATCGAGTTCATCATCTCAAGCAATATTATGTATGATCATCATCTATGTCGTTTTGTTACTTTTTATCGACAAGGTGTGCAAATATTACTATTATCTTCATCATCGGCATAACCGTCATTTTCATCATCGTCGTCATCATTAAATCCATCATTAACATTACAACAACATCATCATCATTGTTATCTCCATAAGATCATCGCCATCATCATCATCGACACCATCGATGCCAAGTGATGCGTTAACAAATACTTCCAATGGCAAGAAGTAATGCCTCCATTAGGAAGGCATTGTTCTTCATTTACTATCCCACGACCGTCTACGCGACATTCTATTCCAATGCAACGTCAACCATGCAACATACAGTCACGCAACAAATTCGCAACAATTCTACAACCAACTTGTAACAACTGTGCAGCAAACTTGCAACAATTGTGCAACAAGCTTGCAACAATTATGAAACAAACTTGTAGCACTTGTGCAACAAACAACAGTCAAACGACAACCAAGCAGCAGTTATGCAACATGAATGCAACAATCACGCAACAAACGAACAGGCAACAGACATGAAACAAACAAGTTCTAATCATTCAACATGTCCTAATGCATCAATCATCCAATGAGCAAACATGCGGTAATCATTCAACAGTCATGCAACTAACAAACAATCAACAATTATTCAACAAAAAACAAACATGCAACAAACAAGTAACCTTAAGCAACAAACGAAAATTTAATCGCAATAATCCTTTCCATCTTCATTCAATCTTTCTTAACTTTTTCATTCAAAATCTCCGCTCACATTTTCTGACTCACCTTTGTTTCAAGTGCAGACCAAAATTTATAAAATTTAACTGCATTTTCGATTATATAATTTTTTTCAATTTAAAAACCTTTCTCAACCATTTTTACTTTTTTGTCACGTTAGGCGGTGAATTTTTTTTAATATATTTTTAATTCATAGATGAAAGTAATTTTAAATGAAATCTTTTCATCAAAGCACATGAATTGAATAAAAATTTTAGTTTTTTAGATGCTGGAATTAATTGTAGTATTTTTTTAACTTAAATAAGCTCTTTTTAAACGAGCTGAAATGAATTGCACTCAAAAATTTGAGTTTGTACAATGATTGGTGCGGGGGCGAATGCGCAAATATTTGCTTGAGAAGAGTGAGTAGTTTAATTTAGATTTTTGGTTGAACATGTTCCCCATCTGAATGAATAAATTTTAAAATGCACTTAACGGTCTATTTGTGAAACTGTTGCTGTTCATTGACATTACATTTTGCGTTCGTCAGTCGTGCACCTACATTTTCTATTAAGCAGTATATTGTTCACTTATTTTCCATTTATCATTATATTTTATTTTAAAATTTAACTGTTAAAAAAGTCATTTTCATTTTTTATACAGCAGCTCTGACATGTGCAGGCCCGCCTACATTTCATCCCATGATTGTATTTAAACTTTCCTGGTTCGCAAGCTGCGACATCCAGTTGGCACTTCCAACAACGGAGCTAATTTGCACTAGCACATAAGATTATTTTTTATCTCATATAAAAACATTTAATTTACTTTACTTTTTATTTTCCGATATAACTTGAAACTGAATGTTCATTAATAAACATTCGCGAGCTTTTCTCAAGTTAATTTGCAGCCGACATTAAACTAAATTGCTTATTTGTTCTCCTTTATCGTTAGTTCTTATTTTTTTTTAATTTTTTTAGCTAATCTTCAGTCCACCATCTATTCCAAAAACTTTCTTCATTTTAAAGTTTTTTTTAAGAATTTGGTTGTTGAATTGACAACTGCACGCACGCACATGTCATTCTCATCACACCACATCTTCTTCCATAGCCCCAAAACAGAGGTCATCTCAAAGGTCCTTCCAATGAATATGCAAGCATGTATGTATGCATGCATGTATGTATGTGTGTATGTATGTTTGTATGTATGCATGTATGCATGTATGTATGTATATATGTATGTATGTATGTCTCTCTTTATGTGTGTGTGTGGTGGGTGTATCTGTGTGTGTATGTATGTGTGTATGTATATATGTATGTGTATGTATGTATGTGTGTGTATGTATGCATTTATGTATGTATGTATGTACGTAAAGAAGTTGCTCTCAAACACCATCCATCAACCTCAGGTTAATCGGCCACGCTGGTGTGTTTGATTAATTGAAGATTAAATGAAAGAGAAACATCAGTTGCATTGGGAAAAAATATCTAAGAATTTAAATTGTCCATCATTAATCTTGAGTGAGATGACAAATACGTTAAAATATTGACAAAACTTTATGTTTGCAGTTAAACTCCAAACAGACTTTTTTCAAAATTAATTTTTAAATTTTCTCAAAAATAAAAATTTTCTCACCTCACAAAAGTTATCTTGTCGATTTCAAATCTTTTTTCTTTGTCCTTTTCTTTCTGTTGACTTCCTTTGCGACGGAAGGAAAATCTTGAAGACCTCTCCATTTTTTTTAGTTCGGTCAATCAATCAATCACTTAATCAACTAACTAAGTAATCAATCAACTAATTGTTAGATCTCTAATTAACCAATGAACTTGTTAAAATATTATTCAAATAAACAAATTTTTAAAATTAACTTTCATTTATTTAAAATAAATTACAAACAATTGTTACTCATCTATTAATGAAGAACAAAAAATCAAATTATTTGATGAAATCAACATCTATTCAAATAATTTTTGATTTAATTAAATTCAACATTGACTTCAAACGACTGATACAACAAAAAAAATTATTCATTCACGACAATTGCAACTTTGCAACAGGACGCGTTTTCAACTTAACAATATATAGATAGACCTCTCCTCAAAATCAACCACTGCATTCACATAGATACATGGAAAGCAATGATTTAACGCTACAACTTAACATGCATACGTGCTGACGATGCGACGTGCATTCGCTCTTTCCATACAAGAAATGTTTATCGACCACGCTACTGCGTTCAATTGGAAATCGTCTGCTACGACTCTTCTCGCACAGCACTACATTCACAGAGCCACTACCGGTTTAGATCTCAATTAAAATGACTTTGAACCATGATTGCTTTTTTTGAATTTGACATAAAATCGTTTCAAAATACGGGATTGGGATTTTTATTTCAAATCAATATTTGTATAATTTTACCGATATTTTTAACTTTCAAAATTACTTCAAAAATTTCTTCATTACAAATCGCCCACCATTGCACCGACCACCCTCTGAGCGCACCTACGAATGGCAGAGTGTCACCCAAACAAAAGTTGAGTTCAATGGACTGTCTCGCAAGACCCCCATCTTTCAATTTGTTCAACAAGTTGATTCTTGCGACACCACCATCAAACGAATTTGTGCTCGTGGAACTGACTCTTGCAACACCTTCCTCGGAGATTGTGGACGGGACAAAAAGCTGGCATTAAATAGTTTTCAAATGTTGAATAATTTAAAAAAACACTTTGAACGAACTGAATGAATTAAATAATTTGAACAAATTGAATGAATGAATGATCGAATGAATGAATGAACGAACGAACGAATAAACAAACGAACAAATGAAAGAGAGAATGAAGATAAAAGAATTCTAAACTTTTCAAAAGCACTCTACAACGCACCAACCATTATCATCTTCCAATTGTGACGTTTTCCGAACAGCAGAGATCCGTCTGAATTATTGAAAAAAGACTTTGAGCGAATTGAACGAGTGTTTTTAAATTGTTTGTTCTTTAAAAATTTATTGGCAGCTGATGATTTGAATAAATAAATGAATTCGTTCGTTCATTCATATATTAATCAGGCAAAATATTTGCAAAGTTTGCTAAAGTGCAAACGAACATTTGCTTAATCATACATGTCTACTAACATTTTCGAGATTTTAATAAGGAAATAAATACAAGAGTTTAACATTGTTTTTAAACTTCGGATTTTAAACAAATATACCCACATGAAATATCAACCGATAAAAAATTAGTAACAACATTTAGTTCGAAAGCCCCCCACCGCGACAAGGTAGCTGTTGTTTGGTTGGTGTGGTGGTGTGAGACGCTCTGACTGCTTTGAAGCCCCATCGCAATTTACTGTGGAACGACCCCCAACGGCCCATGGCGACCCCAAATCAACTAGTATGAAATGTTTCTCGTTACTAGAACCATCCAGTCTGACTAACCCCAAATATCAATAAATCAACCGTTTTTGGAAATTCTCACACACCACCCGGTTTCATTTTGAAAAGTTTGCCTCCCCATAATTGTCTACATCCGCCACTGCATTTTCTTAAATTCCCCTGAACGTTTGTGCCCATTAATATTTCTGACGTGATTATTCATTCTCTAAACCATTAGATGCGTACGATTTTTATATTAAATTCTAATCTTTATGCACAATAATTTTATTGCTAACACTAATGTCATTTAAAGCATTTGACAAAAAATCAGATTGTTTGAAATATTTAACTCAACAAAACTGAAAATCAATAACAATTCGAAAGGCAAATAACAGATGAACCGCTAAATATGAAGAATTTAATGTCACCGTGTAAAAAGCTATCAGAAAATTCATAACTAATTTCATCAAAGCAGTCAAATATTTTGCATTGCAGCCATTGTTAGTTTACTGTTTCCCATTGCCATTAATAGGCATCTTCTTGAACTCTTCAGTTTCCCTATATGCGTGCAACTTTGGTTTGTCAGCAAAGCGTTTATGGAAGGCCTTGAGCAGCGGGAATGAATCAAGGCATGTTGGAGACAGGACCAACAAGTTATCCAGAAGATCAAACACGTTGTAGTCCAAAAAGCTAGCCTAACATGCAGAAATTATTAGTTTTTTATCACTAGAAAAGATGATCAGAGAAATAAAATTATACCTTTTCACCGACAAAGTAACCCTTGCCATCATGATTCAGAGAAAGATATTTCTAAAAAATTAAATACAAAGTTAATATATATATATACAAATGTTTGAAACTTGTAAATATAGAAAAAACATTTAACTTATATACAAAGAAAAACAAATCTATCCACATTTTAGTACATTGTTTATTTTTAAATGTTAATCCCAAACTAGACATGCTGAAAACATCCAAACTTGTTACAAAAACAAACATTTTTACATAATTTTATAAAGTTTTGAGTTTGCTTAAAATTGTTTACTCAAAGCCGCATTGCCTAAATTTCAATGATTTTTGTTAACTGGAAAATTTTGTCTGGGCATAAATATACATTATCAAGATTTAGAGGCACCTGATAATCCATGCTAAATTAAATCATTAATGTTAATTTTTTAAATTCTAAATGTTATAAGGCTATGAAATTATCATGTACAAATGTTATAAATTTGTGTTGGCGTTTGTGGTGCTAAATTTTTCTCCCTTGAACCCAACACTAATTAAAAGAATGGAATATGCATCTAATTCTAATTGGATATAACAAACTAAAATACCTCAAAAATTTTCAATCCATCAGGGAGCTTCTGCAAAAATGGTTCTCTTCCTTGCTCCTTGGTGTAAAAAAGAAACAAAATGATTACATATTGAAATGAGATGATAAAAAACAACAAAAACGTACATAATCTTTATAAATCATTTGCAAGTAAGACAATCTAAGGTCCTCCTGTTGATCATTCAACATATCTATCTTGGCTGCTTCATTCTGATCTTTACCATAAAGACCTGTGCACAATGTAACAATTTCAAAAGGGTAACTAAAATCATTCTAAAAAAGAAATTGAATTAAGAAAATGTAACTTTACCATGCTTCCTGGCCAAATATCTGAGAATTGCATTGGACTGTGCAAGGTCAATTCCATCAATTGTGGCATAGGGTAATTGACCAAGGGGCTGAAAAGAAAATAAACTTATAATAAATAATATATAAAATAAAACATTTTAGACGAATTTTTATATTTACCGTCTTTGGTTTCAGATCAGCCCATTCACCAAATTGAACAACTTTCTCTTCCAACTGGATATCATTATCCTTGCACAAGTATTTCAATGACTGAGCTCTGCCTGTTTATTAACCAGAATCAGGTGGAAATTTATTATTATCCGTCATTTGCTTTGCTCAACAGCTACATTTAATAAACATAAATAAGCTCTACTAACTAAGTAACTAACCTAATCTTCTAATGTAATATACATATATAAATAATGATATATATATATATATATATATATATATATATACATATATAATAAATTCTAAGCGAATTACAAATGGATAAAAAATGTAAATTTTGGCAGGTAAACTTTAAAAAATTAACAGTTTTTCATTGTAAATTTAAATCTTAAAATATTATTATAAACTTATAAAGTAGAAACGAACCTCTCACGGGGAAATAAACGAGATGAACAGTCATTTTCTCAACGTAGAACTAGCGAAGAGAGTGGGAGAAAGTTGTTGAAATAATTGAGACGAAATTGCTAGCTGCCACTTTTGAAATACGAACGAGCAGATGATATATGGCACGCACTGAACGAGCTATCTATGTGTAATATAACCAGGGCGCGAACATACGTGCTGGCAGGTTGGTATCAAAAAATATTAATCTAGACCGAATCTTTTCAATCAATGACCTGATTGATCATCACAATGTTCATTTGATTGGTTATAAACATTAAATTTATAATTATTATATTCAATAAGTTAAAAAATAACAATTAAACTTTATAACGATAACTTATTTTATCATATGTCAAAGTATTAAGCCGGTTAATGACTAATATCATCTGCGTAATATCAACTTTTTCTTTATTTATTATATAATTTAGTATTGTTTTTTAGAGAAAGTTTAAAGTGCGATGATAGGTCAAATAATTTATATCGTTCTATTCAATTATTAAAAACATCAGTTATTGATACAATCAATCAGCTAAACAATCAATCAACCAAGCAAACACGATATCTTATAGACCCATTAAGGTAGCGTCCGAAAGTGCTTATCAAGGAACTTAGTTGAAAGTCTTAACGGAACACTCATAGTAAAAATTATGAGATATTGAGATGTTGTAAAAGAAGGCGAAAAAAGTATCCAGAAGCAAAAAGCAGACGTTTTACCCAAGTCACAAAATTGTCACTAATGAAAGACACCTGAAATTTTTCACACTTTTGTGAGTTTTGTTTAAAAGGAAGTTTCTAAAATATAGCAATAAATTTTTAAAGCAAACCGCTCATAATATTACAGTCATGTATTAAAATGATCGTGTGCTCGTTTGGTTGTAACAATTTTGGCACTATTTTTACTCATTTTTCACTTAATTTATAAAAACTTTGATGCAACTATTTTACTCAAAAGCGTTGCAGGAGTATTAAAATCTTTTTCATCACCAATTATTATTTTTACGTACATTGTACGTTCATGATGAATGTTTTAAGCCTTCCCCGCAAATCTGAAGTTAGTATATATAAATGTAAATACATATTAATTATAATTTAATACATGCCCATGCTGACGTTGTATGTGAATTATTTATAATCTTTATAATTTTAATTAGTACGTTACGTTCAGGTACAAAAATACATCAATCTTGTCATTAGATTACACCTGGGTGGATCATTCACATGCATCGTATTACAGTTGTAATTATGTACATAGTCACCTATTTTCTTTGAAAAGAAGGCACGGCCAGTTCATCCTTATCGTCTGCTAAATGTAATCAATCACTCATTAAGAGAGCATGTAATAAAATAATGAGTTGCATGTATAATATTAAATATTTATTTAATGAGCAACTATTATGAAGAGATAACTTGCATACTGTTTGTATAAATTTGTTTGATAAAAAATATTTGCTTGTATAAATTATAAAAAGTAAAATTTGATGCTTTGGTATTTATTCCGAAGACAAACTATACCATTCGGTGAAGTATATTATTAGTTTCGGCAATAGGGATAAAACCTTGGCAACGATGTCAGATAACACGATAATAGTAAATGGCTAAATGCCATTTATGAGAAATGGCTCGGTTGTGATAATTGCGTGATTTAATGATGATGGAAACGTGAAAGTCAAAATTGTTGAATGAATGCCTATCAAAGTTTATGCTAGACCATTTGTGGAAATGCTGGTGGGGAGTTTGGACAGGCTTCAATGTCAAAACTTAAACTTCGAGAGAAATACAGTCAAGTTGAAATGAATAATAATGAAAAAATATGCCATAATTTTATATGATATGGTCAATTCTAGATATAAAAATTCATCTGCCGACTTCACCACCAACGTCATAGCATGAGATATTTAGACTTACCAACTGAAATATTTCAATCAAACGATGTTCCAGTAACTTTATATTTATTGCTTCCATCGTCATCATTAGAAAGCGCAAATTAAAAAGTTTTTCTATGTACTACTTGAAAGTCTCGCTGTTTTTTCATAAAATTGATTGAGTCACTTAAACTTGTATAACTTCTTTTTTGATAATTTCACCTTTTTTAAAACATAGATGTACAATAAATTTCATTTTAATGCTGCTGATTAATAGCTACTTTATTTCAAAAGTTTCCGTTTACACAATTTTGACATTTAAAATATATTAATGCCCCTGTTTGAAGCTATGGCAAGAATGTACAAAATGTCATGTTAAGAATATTTATCGTCATAAAAATATAAGGAGATGTTATTGAGAAATTTTGATGAATCAATGTGCCTTCATTTACTGTTTGCCATTGCCATTAATTGGCATCTTCTTAAACTCTTCAGTTTCCCTATATGCATGCAGCTTTGGTTTGTCAGCAAAGCGCTTGTGGAAAGCTTTGAGCAGTGGGAATGAATCAAGGCATGTTGGCGATAGGACCAACAAATCGTCCAGAAGATCAAATACATCGTAATCCAGGAAACTTACCTATAATATTTAATTAATTTCTACATATTGCAAATATTTGGACTATTAAACTGTTACATACTTTTTCTCCAACAAAATAGGCTTTGCCATTGTGGTTCATGGACAGATATTTCTATAGAAAACAATGAGTAGTAAAATAACTTGTATAAATTTATGATAATGTACACGTACACCGCATTAAATAATAAGAAAAAACCCACCTCAAAATATTTAAAACTTTCAGGAAGTTTCTGTATGAATGGTTCTTTCCCCAATTCCTTCGTAAATTTAAATTAGGTATATTTGAAGTATTCTTTAAATTTAGCAAAAATATAAAAAAGTATTACATAATCTCTGTAGATCATTTGGATGTAAGCAAATCTGAGATCTTCCTGCTGATCATTCAGCATGTCTATCAGCGCTGCTTCTTTGTCATTTTTACCATAAAATCCTGTTCAAACATTGTTAACGTCACTATTAAATCGATTTAAAAAACGATTACTATTATATTTTAAGTATTTATAATTATTAATATAATTAAATTGTAACTTTAGGACCAATGATTTTTAAATATCATCAATTTAAAAAATCAACCAAACCATGTTTTCTGGCGACGTGTCTCAAGATAGCATTAGACTGTCCCAGATCCATTCCGTCCATAGTTATATAGGGCATTTGACCCAGTGGCTTCAACAAAATTTTCAACATAATTGAAATTGAACGCAGTCAAAAAACAAACGCGAAGGACAAACAGTTTTTGGCTTGAGGGCAGGCCACTGTTCATAGGTAACGGCAGTTTCTTCCAGTTTAATATCATTATCTTTGCACATGTACCTCAGGGCTTGAGCCCTACCTAAAAGTTAAGAATCAAATTAACAAACAATTTCAAATGTCAGCTCCATATTTTAAAAAATTATGCCAAAAATTATGAAGTGCCTGGGCGAAAAACTGTATAAAACCTCTGACTGGAAAGTAATAAAGCTGAATGGCCATCTTTCGCAAATTAAACTAAGTTTAACTTTCCATGCAATGGACGACGACTCAAAACTCAGTTCGATCTGAAAAAGTACAGCAAACGTTTACTGTTTCAAAGATAAGTTTGTGCGTATGTGCGTGTGTTTGTGTGCTTGTTTTATTATTATATTTTATATATACATATAAATGAAACACATATATTAATAACGTATGTTTGTTATGGCCTAAAAAACGTGTATAGTGATTTATAAATGTATTGCATCGAGAGATGTATTTACAACGTGCATCACCATCGCATATATTTGTGTAATATTTTTAGACATGTATTTGAATTAATTGTTTTTTATTATTATATATTGGTTATTTATATCCTATAAATTATATGTTGCAGTTTTCTAATTACTCTGTTATCTGTAGATTTAATTATTTCGCTTATTCTGTCTGTACCTGTGCATAGTTTTAACATAAACATACGTAGTGTCTATCTGACTGATGAAAACATTAGACTGAGCAAATGATTAATTAAATGTATTGTTATAAATATTGAAAAATTATTAATTAAATTGCTATGCAACTTGAAAGAAATAATGCCTTAAGTATTTAACTAATTACAAATCATATTTCAAAAAAGTTGAATTTTTAGTTTATTTCAAGAGTCATTTCAAATGTTGAGTTTGATCATAAAAGTTTTATTATGTTATGTCAAAAATAGTGAACAACCGAACAACGTTAGCTCTATTCTACTCTTTTATCAGCTTCTCAAAACGATGTTTGAGTCTGTCATGTAGTATGGTATAAATACTTCAATTTTGTTTGTCTGGCTCAAAGTTCAGTTATTTTGTGCACAGTTGTGTTGTCTCTTTTTCAGTGTTTGATATGTTTGGTCTGTTACTGCAGCTGAATTTCCATCAACTTCAAATAATTTGAATTTGGGCTACTTTACAAATTGATACTTTTATAAAAGTCTAATTTAAAACGAAAATGGTTGTTATTCATTTTATATCATTTACACTTTTTCAAAACTACTCAACATAAAATCTTTTCAGCTTTTTGCGTGAAGGTGGTGCCATAGTTAACAGTGCCAGATCTACAATGCAGTGATCACGTTCCGATGCATGTTCCTGCCAATCATACGGAATGTGTGTGACGAGTTGATTCTTCCGATAATAATTTTGATTACAGGTGAACAATATTAGCAAAGTGATTACAATTCTCTTCAATTCCCATCAACGATTCCCAATTTCCCTTCTTTTCATTCCATTCTTTTCATTAAACTTAATCAACATCTTGACAAAAAATTGAAACAAAATGACAAAACGCAATATTTTATTAACTGTCGTAAATTAGTTGCTTTTTTTCCAAAATTTTGTCTACAAAGCAAAAATCGTAGACAGGCGAGGACAAAGTTTCGGCAAAAGAAAGTTCTCAACTCTCACTTGAATCAGTTTGTAGCATTAAAAAAGGATAGATTATTCAAATCATTGTATTAAAATTCGTGAACATGCTCAACAACAAAAAAAGAGTTCTGAGTGAAGATAGAACATTATCACTAACAAATTGAAAGTATTAAATAATACAACGAACATAAAATAATACAATATAAAATAATAAACAAATTTTTCCTATGATTCCTATGATTCAAATGGTTCCTAACACTGGTTGATACACAATGTGCTTCACTATTTTTTTAAACGATCATAAACACATACTGATCACAATGCTACTTTCACATTTGCCGACAGGTATGCTAAAATATTTTTCTTTTGAGCGCTTTAGCAATCAATAAAGAATATGCCTAAATGTAGCACTGTATGTATATTTCCCATGTATACTTAATTACTTGCATGTAATACATCCAAACGGCATAATAACACTAATAATAATATTAAATAATCTTATTTATAAATAATGAAAATAATAGCATAGCGATACGTGTATGCATTCATCTACAATTTGTGTATAGCAAAGCTGTATTACCTTAGCCTGTGTTATACCTGGGTTGATTTTTTTTTCGTACGTGTTATGTTCTCTGCCTATTTCTTTAGCCACACAATGTTTGTGAATGCCTAGGCAACTCAAGCTCAATAGCAAGAAGAAAAATAAAAAAAAGAAGAAAGGATAATAGTTACAATAATAATAATAACAATATCAATGAAAGTAATCGCTGCGTAACAAATTAATAAAAATATTATTGAGCTTGCTGGATAATACAAAATAATTTAATTTAAGTTTTTTTTTGTATATCTCGTGAAAAGATATGCATGACTACATATCATATAAGTTAATTTTACGTTGACATAAGACTTTTATCCTAACTTGTAACTTGAGATAAACACATTTACATACACATTCTAATGGCTTATTTCAAAGCCAAAATGTCACAAAATTACTATTTAAATTTTAAAAAGTTTAACACGCGCGTTTAGGGTTAGGCATTACCGATTTTGAAACATTGATAAATTGGTTGCCCCAATTGTTAGAAATATTGGTAATAACTATTCGAATTTATTCAATTAAGAAAATTAAAACTAAAATGCCAATTAGTAATTGATATTAGGCAATAATCTTACTTTGTTAAATTTACTTCATGCTATGTAGGTATCGTAAATGAGATAAATCAGATGAGTGTTGTATCGTATCTTTCAAAATTTCAACCCCTCACTCCAAGCGAATAAGTAACAGCTTTCAAACGTCTAGTGGCTCAACTTTTCAGGTGTTTATACGGACGATGAGTGAGATTTTCTCATTGAAAACTACATCAAGTGACAAACAAGTAGAAAAGACACGATGATTAATAAGGTTTTGTTGTTTCAAACCTTCGAAAATTTATACGCATCTGTTAAAGAAGACGATTTTGTTTTAACGATATCGCTTAACATCTGCTATTAAGATTATAATGTTCATAAAACATTGCAAATATCTTCCCACCAGTTCACACCGTGATGACATACATGGACGAGAGGCATGGCTCTGGCGAGTAGAAAAACCCCATATTCCACTTCAACCTTTACAACTCAGCACTTTCAAACATTTGGGAAGTTTTTGAAAAACTCTTTCATAAAAATTGCACTATTTTTCAAAATGTTTCATTGCGTTTGTTTACTTACTTTAAAACACAGGGCATGAATACGCAATTATATTTAGCGTTTTTAGAACAACACACACACCAATAAAAGTGAATACTCGAATTTTTTTAATGTTTTTACAACTATATTAATTAATTGGAATAAAATCTGTTTAACTTTAGTGAAAAGTGAAAATCATGTCATTGTTTTCACTTTGAAATTTCATCAGATTATTATATACGTTTGGCAGGATCTTATTGATTTCATTTAAAGTTGAAAGTTATTTTTGTAACCATCAATCTTCTTCAATTTTACATTTTTTAATTTATTTTTAAAAACATTTTTAATGACTACTAAATAAATCGTTAATGCATTTTATTGCAATGTGATCCTGATTTTGATGATGAATACGTAACGATTTTAATTGTAATACACGATTGTAAACGTAACGATAAAATTTGTCCACTTGTGCAGATTCTTCGAACTAATCACCTTCACTTCATTTCACATTCGATTGTTATTGAATTATAAAAATTACTGCAGTAACTACATTACAAAATTCTTATTACATACAAATTTTATTACTTATCTATTTCAATTAAAAAATATTTTTATAACAAAGGTCTGATCTGATAGCCTAATTGCAACAAAGCAGTTAACTTTATTAAAGTTAGATTGTTAAATTTTTATTCCTCAATTGGGTCGTGGTCTAACATAAAGAATTTGTTAGAAATGTATTCTTTAATTGGTTAGTTATAATAATAAACAATCAGTGTAAGGTATTCAGGTAATCACTGCAATAAAGTAGATCGTTTAGTCTGAAAAGTATTCAATCTTTCCCTTTGTTTGTCGTATGCTTCCAATTAATCGGCAGTGTTTCCAGTTCCCTATTGGTTTATAAGCAAGGGGTTTTAGTTCAGATTCAACATTCGGTTTTCTGCCAAACATTTAGCACTAAGTAATTAAATTTAACTGCAATTTTTCAATCATTTATCCTGAATATTTAAATATACGTTGATCTTAACAAAAGCCTCCGCATAACAATATTATAAAAATTCTAATATTTTTAACAAAATTTTGAAAAAATGAATTTTGGACGTATTAGCAAAATTAACTTAAGCAGAAGAAGTCGTTCAAAACATGCGATGGTGGAACCGAGTTCACCGATGCACCAAGACAATCCACCTCAACGAAATCTGCCGGTTTTCAACCGAACTAAACGATATGCCTCAACGTTCAGCCGCATTGCGTTCAACAGACAACAAGATAATAACGATGCTGAATCCACCCACAAAATTGGAGTGAACCATCGGGGAGATGGACGTGTCTATTCGTCTCAGCGACAGCTAGGTGCATTCAAAAGTATAAGAAAGAGGAAACTTTTTGGCAAGAGAGTATCAGAGATTCCATTCACAATCAGTGATGATAGTGACGATGATGTTGATAACAAAAGTTATTACAACGCGTCGCAATATTTCTTTCAAAATCAAAATCTTCATCACAGTCATCGTCGTTATAAGCACAACCAATCTCATTCGAACTGCTGCTACACTGACGCTGAGAAACGAAGAAAGGTCCTGTTGAAATCTATTACATCAATTAATGATGTTGATGCAAGAAGTAAAATTTCCATTTGTGACAACACATTTGACGATAACAGAGACCAACGCTGGATGACTCCTAGTTCCGACAGATCGAAACTTACCAGAAGATGTAGCAGTGTAATGTCATTTCGACAACTTCTGGCAAGTGCAGATATGACGGATAACTGCAATGGAATAGATGACTCTGGAATGTTACTAAACAACAATAACTACAAAAATAGTAGTCCTAAGAGAACGATGGAAAACTTCAAAACTCATCAAAATGAAGAATTTTTTGGAAAGTTGGACAGGATGCGAACAAATTTAGCCAACAATTGTTTATCGAAATTTGGCAAACATTGCATTCCATTGATGAAAGCACTAAATAAAGACAACACTTACAACAATATATTGGAAGCTCATATCGGTCCCATAAAAAATGACAACAAAAGACAAGCAAATTTTGTAAAGGGCCTCCTTCTTTCGAAACATCTCACCAACGTAACGAAGGGTCTCTACATATCCTGCACGCTCCAGTCAACTGGTAAAATCTTAGTGACGTCACATAATTTGCTTCCAACTGTAAACGTTGATTCAGAAAACGTGGCTGACCTGGAGTCTCATTTTTTTTGGCTGATGAAAGTTACAAGTGACTGGTCATTGTTAACAAATATAAAACAGGCAATGAAAAAAGAAGTACCAAGCTGCAAAAAAACTGAACAAAACAGCTTTCTTTTTAAATACGCCATTTTGAAAGCTGTCAACATTTTACAAAAGATAACCGGAAATGAAAAGTTAGGCCATCTCCACACCAACATTTTAAGCGGAACGGATTGCAACGTTTTTATGTTTATCAACAACGATTTCAACGCCAAATCGAAATCATCTCTGAATTCGTCCCCAGTTCCATCTTCCTCCTTGCCGACACTATCGTGGATGCCCTTGGGTAAGTTATCATCGTCATCAACAGTTCCGAACAAAAAGCAAAAAATTAGTGGAATGTTAAACGACCTAACCAGCAATTGCAAAAACTTTTTAAGGGAATCAAAAAACTTGGATGAGCAATTGAAAAGTGGAGTATACATAAGCTACATGTACCTGGCTTGTCACCTGCAACATGGAATGCAAATTCTTGTTTCCAGACAAACACCTAACAACTTTCCATCTACAAGAATCGACGATTATCCCAGCAGCGGCAATAATACACAAACGACCGATAGTTGTTTGAAGATTTTAAACGGATTACAAAGTAACAAGTTTGACGATATGGAAGATAATTTTAAAAGCATGATATGTTCAAAGATTCGTCAATTTGAAGATGCAACATACGCCCAACTTCCGTTTACTCTAGAAACTTCACTAGCATCATCACCTTCATCTGAAACACAAAAGACAAAGAGGGACAAGCCTGTTGAAGCTATCTGCAATCGCCTACATACATCGATCCTACATCTAAACGATCAAGTTAAAATGATTCTACTCGCTCCTCCGCATTCTCTTTTCTGCCCTCTCATCACCCAAGACGCTATTTCACCACTGCCGGATTCTTTCTTCCTACCTATGCGTACTTTTGAAATGATCCAGCTGAGAACATACCAACCGCAAATTTATCAAAAGTATTGTCAACTGTCCGTCATCTTGGAATTGGCATTAGAAATTTGCAAAAGTCGCAAGACTGCTTTGGATGCCGGAAGCAAACAGCCAGAGGGGGAATACAGGTCTGCAATGCTTTCAGTAAACGCAAAGTTATCTGAATTAAAGAGAGATATAGAAGACACATGGACAAGATATCGTTGGATAGGAGATGCTATCAAAGAAGCACGGTTACCTACATCAGAAAAGTTCATCAGCTTACAACAGATTTTGTGATTTTTTACTATAAAAAAATATCGTTTTTAAAAAGTTTAAAAGTTGCATAATTTTATTAAACTGCATTTTGTAGTGTTTTTATCATTCTTATAAAGCTTATCTATTTTCCGTGATAGAAAAGTGTTTTATAGTAAACATTGTTCATATATTTTGCTGTTGTTTTTTGCCTTTAATCATTCAGATATACGATAATCGAAATTTTACCAAAACTTTAATTTATATTGAATAGAAATTAACATCAATAACATAGTTATGAATACCGGTATACCTGTATAAACTCATATTTTAAACTTTAATAAACTAATTCAACTGTTAAAAGTTTTATAAAAAATTAAACGATATTTTTCTGAAAAATGATATAATCGTCAACATACACACACAATAAATCAAAATATTTTATCCATAAACCTAAAAAATCAGGTTCGTCAGATTTCTCAAATCTCTACGGTTTCCGACAGAATGCAAAAAAACAGCTCATCCCTGATCTTTACTTTTTTACCTTTATCACTTACTGTTGAACTCTGCTTGAACTAGGAAATAAGCAATTCTGTTTAATTTAATTCTTAAAAAAAAAATAATTATAAAAAATGAATAAATTAATTCACGGCCAGCAAATTATATTTGATAAAATCGTGACGGTCAAACACACAATTACCGGACAGGATTATGCCCGATCCATTTTGAAGGCTACTACAGATGAAATTGCAGCTCCTAAGAAAAAACATTTGGATTGTTAGGGATTTTAAAAATTTAATTTAATTTTAAATAAATGGATTTTGATTTCAGAGTTGAGTTTAAAACATTCAAATGTAATGTTCTTAGCATGAGATACATTGTTAAGAACTTGCATTCAGCGTATTATTGTTTTAAAATACAAAATTGAAAATATTAAAAATTTTAACTGTAAATTTAATTTTTGATGAATTAAAACTGCTAAAAAATAAAAAAGGTAGTTAAGATGTAAAAAGCTTGAGTATAAATAGGTTGTTGTATCATTCACACTCACTGAATTCATGTTATTAGTTGATTTTTCAGATCATTTCAATTTTCTTGAAAAGATCATGTTAACTTTTTCATGTCAAGAAGGAATCAATATAAATATAAAATATAAAATATTGTATCAAAGCTGGTAAAAACTGACCATTTTTGAAAATCATCAAATTTTTCAATTTTTATTAAAGATCTGGTTCGGTGCACAGATGATCCCACAATGCCCATCACAGAGATGTGTCGTCTGCTTCTCGATCGAGCTCACAACCAAAACTGGCCAATCACATTCAAGGCCCTCATAACCATACATGAACTTATGAATTATGGAAATGAGGTTGTTTTTTTTAATTATTTTTTACCTGTAATTTATTTAAGTATTTCAGGGATGTGAAAATTTACTAAAATAAAAAAATGAATGTTTGTTTTAAAAGAGTATCAGTGTTAAAGATCATTATCTATACTTTTTTACTTGATTCTAATGACAAATCAACTTTATTTTATCATTTCTCAAATTGTGGTTGAAATAGTAATATAATACAACAGCAGAACTGTAATCACATCTCCAACATAACACCACACCTCACATTATTGAAGACAGTGATAGTTTTGAAAAAAATGATAATTAATATGATGATATTTCACTGAAAATGTTGTGTTAAATTAACATCTTTTGTTATTTATTTGTTGTCATATAACATACTAGTCCTGGTTATGACATTAAACTGACCCTCACTGCCTTGTGAGTGATGTTGGATCATCAAAGGCTAGGCCCACTGCTTATAACTGTGGTTGCGTAAGGAAGGGCGTCCTGCGTAAAAATTAGCCAAATAAATTACTTATGATGACAGAAGTACAATGGCCCTCATCGAGGGGTATTTCGGTTTCATCATAGGTAGCCAAACGGCAACCCCCGATCTCGGGGAAAATGTCGTCTAAACGTGTGTTGTTGTTGTCATATAACATACTACTCTATGAATGATTAATGTCATTTTATGTTAGTTGATGTAATTAAATGATTTTTTAGACATTTCATGTATTAATCAATCAATTAATTAGAGAGAGCACAAACTAAGTCATGTTTACGTTTGTGATTTTCAAACTAATTGTGATCCTAGCTGAATTTTTCAGTTTTTTGTGTATATTTTTATAATTTTTATTTCATATATCATGATATGATTGTTATGTTAATGTTATTTGACCAGAGGTTCTTCCAATACCTGGCCTCTGATAATTCCTCCATGAACCTGGATAACTTTTCTGACAGGACAGATGGTCTTGGTTAGAATAATGATATATATCTGTTTGTGATACATATGATTATTTATGATAACAATTATTTTTCTTGTTTTTTTTTCTAGTTTTTGTTATGATATCAATAAGAAATAATTGGAAATTTATATGGAAACATTTTTTTTCTCACGTTTATTATGCAGCACTTCACATGTCAAAGTTTGTCAGGGCTTACGGCAAGTATGTCAGCTCTAAGGCCATCTCATTCAGAATTGTGGGCTATGACTTCTGTAAAGTTAAAAGAGGGTAATGTACATGTATTTTTTCTTGTTGTATATATTGCTACTTTTTGTTAATATACTTAATTTATTTTAATTTTTTCATTGAAACTTTTAATTTTGTGTATTTTTTGTTATAATCTGTGGAATTATTTTTTTCATCGTTTCATCTAGATCTGTTTTCTTACTGTGGTTATTACTTCATATCATTTGTATGTTGCTTCGAATCTCATCATTGTTTCTTACTGTTTTTTTTCCATTCTATACATGTTTATCATGAATATTATTGTATGTGTGTAATTTTTATGGTGAGTTATTGTAGAAATCTTTTTAAAATAACGTTCTCACTTAGGGCTGGCTCTTTTTTTAGCAACCTCAAAACGCCAAAGGTATGTTTTTTACATGTCTGCCCTGGTTTTTTATTTTTTGTTATGTTGATTTTTGTTGCTAGCTTCATTACTCTTATTGTGTGTGATGTCATTTGTAGATATTTTTTTATTATTATGTCTGATAGAGTAATTGAAATATTAATTTTATTTCTATTTTTTTTTAATTTTCATCCTGAAGTGAGTGATTGAGTGCCTGTGGGAAGAAGTGTCAACAACACCCATTCATTTGATTTATTACTGCATTCTTTTAATTTATTTTTCTTTGCAGTTGTTTGAAGGGCTGAGCAGATTGCAAATCCAGATTGACGATCTTTTGAGATTCGATGTAGTTGTTTACAATATTTTTTTCCATTTTTTTCATTTTTTTTTAAAATTATGTCTTATTTATTTTCTATTTATTGGGTTAAATGTGTTATTTTTGTTTTTTTTTTCAAATAAGTTTTATTTAATTTTTTTTCATTTCATAGCATTAAAGATTAATTTATTTTGTGTTTTTTTTATAAGTTTTGTAATTGATAATAGCAGAATAATGATAAGCGTTAAAATAGAACACTATGTACTGCACATCTGCAATGGAAAAACAATACAACCTAGTTATGCAATCTAGCTAACTTGAAAAACTATTGAATGATAATTTTATTTAATTATTTTATAACTAACAATCATAAAATAATTATTCCTATTGAATTTAATTATTTTATATTATCATTATTATTAATAATAAATTCTCTCTTTGGTAATTCTCTGACATATTAACAATACACACACATTACTCATACACGGATGACTTTGCATTCGAACGAAGTCTCTGCAGCAGTAGAACCAGGCACCATAACCACGGCACCACAAAACCATTAGCCCTATTAATGTAGTTGTTGAATAATTTTTTTTTCCACCTTCTGCCAACCACAACACCACCAGGCAACTGTTCACGATCTTTCAAACTGCATCATCCGGGCAGCGTACAACTACTCATACAGGGATCTGGTGCGACTGATGTCAGGCTACAATGACGGCATGGGCAACTTACTGCAGAAGTACTTCGATATGGATAAGAAAAACTGTCAGGAGGCTTTGATTATCTACAAGAAATATCCGGCTCATGTTAAAATGTTGCAGGAGTTTTTGAAAGAAGCAGTGGTTATGTTTAATTTGTTGTTTTTGTTGTTGTTGTTGTTTTTATATTCTTTAAAATCGAAATTTTGATAATTGAAGTAATTATTACAATGTGCAAAGTATAAAATCAGAATTAAAAAGATTTAAATGATAAAAATGGAAAATATAAAATACATGAAATGCACTTTAAAAACGTAAGAAATACATACAAAAATGGAAAAACAAAAACGAATTCTAAAATAAATTGTTAGAATATTAATGTAAAAATACAAAGTAATGAAAAGTATTGAAAGAAAAAAAAAATTTTGTTGGCTTTACGTTGTAGCATGTCATTTGAATGTTGTGCGGTGCATGTATGTAAACATGCATTTTTTCTGTTAAATGTCCCTTGTTAAGCTAGCTTTCAACATAACAATTTTAAGTGGAATAAATGTCTTGAGAATACCAGGGTTTGCTTTTCAAAAGTAATAACAATAATAATAATAACAATATTAACAATAATAATAATAATGTATTGTTATCAGTATTTTATTTTATCACTGAGATTAGTTGTTGAAAAGTTTAGGGTAATTTTTTTTATCTTTTAAGACCCATAATTATCGTTTGTATAATTTCTATCGTCTTTATTATGATTCTAATTATAACAATGTTTAAGAGTTTAATAGATTAGTTATATGTATTTATTTATTAACTTAATAATTAATCAGTTATTTTCCTTTAATAACTTTTTGATTTTTTCATACTTAATTGACAACTGTTAATTTAATTTTTTGTCTTTATTTGCAGTCATCTAACATGGAAAGAATGGAGACTCCTAAGACAAACTACGTAAGCAGACTTCTATTCATTTCATTAAAACGTGATTCTAGTTGAATTTTTTTTATTTTAGTACACATTATTTTTTTAAAACTAGTCGTTCGTGAATTTTTTTGTCTCGAGTAAACATTTCTGATCAAACATTATTGCAGTGCAAATATTCTTTACAAATTGCATGAAAATTTTATCCAATTCAATTTTATTTTTAACATTCTGTAATGCATTATTTTACATTATTTGTTATTTTTTATTGTTATAATGCCTTGCATGCGTTATTTTAGAATGTCCAGTTTTTAAAAGAATTCAGCTGAGAGAAAAAAAACTGAAAATTTAAAACTTAGGTGGCCACTGATTTGTACCCCATGTTGGAAGAACATTTGAGGACTCTTGAAGCGAGCAAGAAACCTCAAAACAACTCTGTATCACCATTGCCAAAGTACTTTTTTTGTGTGTTTGTCATAAAATTTTGTAAAAATTCATAAAAACTTTTTCGTCTGCCAGAAATTTCCTTATTTCTAACTTAAAAACAAGTAAACTTGTCAAGCATTTATAAGTTTAATTATCTCTTTTTTGCACGTTCTCGTTGTCTGGTGGCTGTTTTTTTCTATTTTGTCATGCATTTGTTTTACAGTTACCAACACAACTTATAGTTTTACATATATTTTTAGGAATCTCATTTTTATTTTGCTGTGGCTTTGAACGCTTGCTTCATCAGTCTCTATTCATTACTAGCGTTTGATTAACGTTAAGAAAACGAAATAATTGTTTTCAGACCGGAATCGAGACACGGCGGTGACAAACGGAAGTCCCTGCCTCCCCAACATTCCATCTCCTCCTCAACATCTTCATCGTCACCGCTGGCTCTGGCTGAAATAAGTGCCCTGGAGAAAAAGAAAATCATCGAGGAGGAAAGGAAAAACTTTGAAATTTTGAAAGTCAGTTCATTTACCTATTTTCTTAGTTGAATAACTTTATCATAAATTAACACAGAAATTAGGAATATCTTCCTCTGTTTACAGCAACGATCTTTAGTATTTTTAGCAAATTCACACTTGAAAATTTAAAATAAATTTTGAACGTAACAATTGAGTAAGTTGTATTAATCACTTTAACGATCAATGTAGGTTAAATTTTGAGAGAGAGAGAGAGAGAGAGAGAGAGAGAGAGAGAGAGAGAGAGAGAGAGAGAGTCAAAAACCACCTCTTCAAAAGTTGTAGGTTGTTTACATGGATACATTACACAATTGATCTTACATATGAGATGAAGTGGTTAAGCAGGTGGGATTCAAGTTTAGTAAAAATTACATTGGCGTTTATACTTCTTGAAATGTGGTGCAATAAATGTCTGGAAGAACTTTTCAATTTAGTACGTGAACGTTATCTCATATTAAATATAAATATATAATGTATATTAAATGGAATGACATTTTTCAAAAATAAAAGCGTTCCAAAGCCTCGGAAATATCGAATGCCGCCATGGCGGTGGCTAGATCCAAGTCAATGTATGAGACGACGTCCAAGGTGCCAACTATCAATAATGTTGATCAATCTTCGCCAGGTTGCTAACTTACATTTTTAAAAAAAGTTAAGTCATCAATTTTTTTAATGTGTTATTTTCTAATGCTTGGAAGATTGAAGAATCGCGTTAATAGATTGTTAATGTTTGCAGACATCATAGATTTCGGTTCAAATGTTGCAAACAACAACTCTTCCAGCAACAACCAGACGGCATACGATAGCTTATTCAACGACAATTTCGTGCCTCCATTCTCAGTTGAGTCTTGCCAGCCAACTTCACCTGCAACCTCACTTTCATCAACGTCATTCTTCGGTGACAACTCATCCAGTTTGTTTCCATCTAACGCGAATGCTAGCACTGCCAACAAACCGGCACCACCTGGTTCATTATTTTTGTTATATTGTAATTCTTTAAATTGTTTCATGTCAAATTTTGTATAATATTTTTGAGGTTTAATATAAAACTAATTGACTAGTTAACGTTATAAGGGCTGAAACTGATATGTAATATTTTGTCAATTTCTTGGATATTTCAAGGTTATAAATTTTGAAAAATTATTCATTCGTGACTCAAATGTTATTTAAATAGTACTTTCTTTAGAAGTGATTTTGGACAGACATGTTTTATTGACACAGAAGAAGACAAATGTTGAATCTTTTCACTCTTCTACAACATATACCATGGCAGGTTTCTCGAGTTCTGGCATGTTGGAACCCCAAAAACTCTACACACCTCCACCTACGGTATCATTGGCTTCACTTGATTTCTCAAAAATGTCACTTCCTCCAAATCCTACTCCAGTTTTCTAGTAAGTATGACATTTTATAATGTTAATAATATTTTAGAAATAATTTTTTATTAATCTCTAATAATATAATTTACAGTCAGCAGCCGGTCCCGATGATGTCACAGTTCAGTCCTGCATATGTTAGCGAGATTAAATATTATATCTTCTATCTTTCAAGTGTCTTTCAAAAATTAAACTAATACCTCTGAGTAATTTATTAAAGGTGGATAGTTTTATTACTACAGTGATAAACTCAGTAGTTAAAATAAAAAAAAATGAATAAATTAACTTTTAAAAGCCTCTCCTGCCTGGTTCTTATCGTCCAAATCTTCCCTACATGGGTCTTAATGCATATTCCAATGTTAGAAATTTTGAATTTCATTTTATTAATATTTTGGAATGGACTATATATATATATATATATATATATATATATATATATATATATATATATATATATTTGAAATAATGCTAATACAATTATAAATACATTTTTCATTATATTTCAAATCAAGAAATGCAATTGCCATCTTAGGAATAAGTTTGTCCGAGTTATAGACATGGAATAGTGCAAATTAGTGATAGTCTGATCTTGAAAGATAAGATTTTTAACAAAGTAATTAATGACAGAGTCATTAGTAATTTTAATTAGTAATTAAATTAATTTAATTAGTAATTTTGATGAAGCAAGATGAGAAAAAGCATTGAAGAAGTTGGTGAAAAGTTAGCAGATAGTTAGTTGGGTTGTTAGAAAGTTTAGGACTTGAAAACATTCTGCAATTTCTAATTTTGGTCATATAAAAAGTTTTCGGTATGGCGTGTCATTAAACAGATCTGAAGAATATTACGTTATATTACGCTTCAGGTGCCTGTACAACAGCCTTCACAAGTTTTATCACAACAACAGCCACCACAGCAACAACAATCAGCAAATCCATTCTTATAGATGACATATCTTCGAGTTCCGACTATGCATTTATTTAAATCATTATATTTTATTTATAATACTAATAATGATTTTATAAACGAGATATCTATATTTTTGCGTTAATCGTTTATTTATTGAACATTTGGTATAATTAAAATGATTCTGCTGCTATTTTTTGCAATGAATCTCAGTATATTTTTGAAATTCAGTTTTAAAATTTAGTTCAGTTTTATTTTTCTCAGCATAACATTTTTATCTCTTATTTATTGAAAGATTTGTTTTGTTTTTTTTAATTTGTATTTTGTATTTTTTAGTTTTTCCCAAACAATTCTGAGTTTTTTGCTTCCTTATATATTTCGATATATGTATGCATGTATAATGCATATATTTATATCTGTATATGCGTGAATATATGTATTTGTATATATGTATATGCATGTGTATGTATGTATGTATATTTATATATGTATTTGTACATATTTCTAACATTGAAACTTAGATTATAGTGAGTTTTGAAAATTAAATAACTTTATTTTCTTAAATTCAAAAATTGTAATATAAATTTTAGAATATATACTCAACGGCATTTGGCTACTTATCATGAATATCTGGGTAATATATCAATCTTTTTTCGGCTAATAGTTACAACTTTTTCTTTTATAACAGACTATCCTGTGAACTAATAAATTTGTTTTATTTGTTAGTTCTCTGGTTTAAATTTTATTTAAAGATTAAATTTATGAATAATTGAAGATGCAGGATACATTCCTAGCCTTATATACTCTGATTGATTAATGTCTAATATACAAAACATTCAACCTAGTGCAGTTTATTGATTTTGGATTCTACGGATTCCAAGTCATTATTTAAATATTGTAACTACACATCCTTTCTTATGACATAAATTCACTTTTAGTTTTCTTTCACTAACCAGCTTCACCAGCTAAATTGCGTTTTTCTTCCCTTACTTTTCAGTTGAATTAGTTTCATCTCATAGTTAGGTTTCGGTAGTTTAGTAGTAATTTGTGATATCGCAGATGTTTATCATTTTAATTCTTGATGTCCACCAGTGACATTTATGAAGGGCTGGAGAATGAATTAGATCACCACAATGATGGGTCTGCACCAAACTCGTTCTTTGCTTCACTTCTGTGCTTTTTTTGGCCCCAATTGAAAAATTTCCAAGGTATACCATATTTTTGGTCCGAAATAGATTTTCAAACGAAGTTAATTACATTCCTTATCGCTTGGTTGATTTTCAACCTCATTGCAATTTATTTTGCTTGGAAAAAATATGGTGATAGTCTGTGCACTTTTCTTTGTGAAGGTAAGATACAATTTTTAGACAAATTAAAATTAGATTTTTAGTTCCAACTATAAATGTTTAATTTTAATGCTGAATTTACATTTAATTTTATTTTAAATTTAAAAGTGAAGTCTAAATAAAAAAGATATTAATAAATTTTATATTATTTTTAAATTATTGATTTAATTTTTATTTTTAATAGTTTAATCTTTAATGCTTGGTTTGTTATGTCAATAAATTATGTATTGGAAACTTTTTTTGTATGAATCTGCTTATTCACTGTGTAGTGCACATGCATTTCCATACAGGTCTGTAATAAAAATAATGTATATAACAATAACTGAAAATAAGCTATACTGCTATAAGATAAGGTAAATCAAATTTTTTGTTTTATACAAAATTTATTCCAATATAATATATATATAAATATATAATTCATTAGCTCTTATCTTATCACAATATTCTATCTATTAGTTAATGGTAGTGTAAATATTGCATAATTTAATGAAGAATTTCAAAAACATTTTTCAAACAGGTTTTAACTTTTAATTTCATACTATCATTAAAATTTCCAGATAAGAACTATGATGCTCAGAGAACACCACAGCCTGAGGATATTTTGCATTACAAGACCAATGTTCCCAAGCTGCACAAGGACTGATGTATATTCCTAATTATTTGTTTGTTTCCTTAAGACTTAAATATTTTCGAACAATCAAACCAAACACAACTTGATAGCAAAACAAATCTTATTATTAATTTCAAACTTGTTCATTGCAAATAAACTTATTGAAATGTAATAAACATGTTTGAGTTTTTTTTTGGCTATGGTTGAAAATAGTAAGCCATCTCCTCCTCTTCTTTGGTTTCCATCTTCTTGTCAGATTTGTAGGATTTAACAACTCCTGGTGGCTCAGACCTAGCCACAATTTTTCTGCCAAACTGTTTAGAGAGTACATACAAAATTATATTTTCGTTAGATCATTCATAATATGACAGAAACATATTTTAGCGTATACAACCTGACTCTTTACGCTGATCTAATGATAAACTATATTTTCTTCTAATGTTTCAACGTTATTGTGATGGAAATAAATGGTTATGCTGATAAATGGCACAATTTGGTATTATTTCTCGTTCGTACTACCTTCTTTCTTGGGTCGGCATTTGCTCTCTCCATGGCTTTCTTCATTCTCTCTTCTTGATGGATTCTTTGCGTTTCTAACTTTTCCTCTCTCTGTTTCAGTCTCCTTTCTTTTTCTTTCATCTACGTTTACAAATTATGGATCAGTTGGTGATTACTTAATCATTCATTCAGTTTAAAAATTTGAATTTTTAAGCAAAACTTGACCTTAATGGCTGCTTCCACTTTATGTTTTGGCATCATTTCCATTTGCTGGAACAGATCCTCCATTCTGTTTTCAATTGTTCTGAGCATTTGCAGCGTGCTGTTTGTTATCAATTTTAAATTAAATGTTCTTGTTAGAAAATCAGGAGAAAAAATTTTTAGCGTAGAGGTATTTGAAACCTCAAACTGGTTTCCATTTCGCCAATACAGGTTCTGTATGCCTCTTCCACTGTTTTATTCAATCTTTCCATTATTTTATCTTCTGGTTTGTATTCATTGGAAGTAAACATTCTGAAAAATGCAAATTTTACGCATGGAAAATATCAACAATGATGTAATTCTAAAGTATTGAATGTATAATATTTGACAAGAAAATTAACAGAACTTTGGAAATGTTCAATTTATAACAAATATTCTCACAAAATTTTGTTGGCCAAATTGTTGGCGTCTTCTTCCTCCTTTTTAATCGAATTTTTAAGAAATGCAATTTGTTTCTTTAGAGAATCTGATTCTCTTTCCCTGAAGAAATTATTCATTCAATTCATGCTGTGCAAAATGGATAAAATTAATGACAAACAGACATTTTATCTTTTGTATCTTGAAACGTTTGTTTCATTTCTTCCAAGGATTCCTCAGTTTCTTGACTGTTTTGTATCAGTGATAAATTCTGTTCTTCAAGTTCACCAAATATGTCTAACAGTTGTTGTGGGTCTGTGAAATACAATTCTGGTTCCTTCAGTGCAAATATTTGTACAATTAATTAATCAATCAATTAATTATTTTAATAAATGAGCTTTTAACTCAAGTTTTAAAATGTCATTGATGATTATATTTTGCAAAAATATAATTCCAGTGACCTCTACATCCTCTTCCTCGTCATTGTCGTCTGACAGCTGTGATAAACTGCCACTCTCCCTCCGAGATTTTGATTGGAATTTTTCAACTTCTTTCAACTGTTTTTTTTCTAGCTTCTCTAACTCTTTTTGCTTCAACCATTCCTTCGCAAAAATGTTTAAAGTGTTGAAAAATGTTTTTTTTCATTTGAATTGCTGATAATCATAACAGTATTAAGATAACACTGCGTAACTAACAAGTGGTGTCAGTGAAGTTAGGAAAGTTTCATAGATCCGATATTCTTTCAGTTGCTCCTCATATTTTGAAATCTCTCCCTTGATTAAAATCATTTGGGTGTTCAATGCTCTTAACTCATTATCTTTCTCTTGTTTTATCTTTTTCTCTGACTCTGCACTGCAAGGCATCAGAAGTAAAATCTTAACTTCAAAGAATATGGATTACAATTATCGTTCAACATTTAATATCCAATAATTATGGATGTACAGTTTTATGGCATCTCCGGCTGTTTTGTCGTTGTCCTTGAGGAACTCATCGAACATGAGGGCATCTTCCTCCAAATATTGTTCAGCCAGTTCTAATTTCTTCTCTTCGGCCAATGTAAGTCTTTCCAACTTGTTCATTTCCTCCTTCTTCACACCAACCGCATACTGCCAGGAGGTTTTAAATGGATTTTATTACAAATTAATTACTTTCATTTAACTATTTTACAACATTTATAATCAAAAATTGTTATAACAGATGGCAACGCTAAATTTTGGAATGTAGTCATGAAGAGAAAATAATATTAGAGTTCAGTAAGAAAGAAATATGTAGGAGGAACAAACATGCAGTAGGAACATTTCTCTTTTCTTCTTCACATAGTCGTCAAGTGACTCTTTCTCAATCCTTTGATCTGTTCATAAACAGTGATTGACTAGTTAGTTGCAGGTTAAAATTTGAATTCACGCATCAGTTGGCTGAGTGTTTTAACCTTTTGTTATTTTCAAAACAAAACTGTAATCATCATATTCAGCTGAAAAGTTACAATCTCTTTTTAGGTCATTAATATTCATGTTATCAAAAAACATCACAGGCTTGGAATTTATTTTTCTAGAATGGGTCGTCTTGTCTATTGCTTTCAGCTGAGCTTGTGCCAAATTTTCCTGATTTGTTACAAAATTTTTTAAATATTTGAAAGCTGCTTGCTTCATAAAGTTGAGCATACAACATTTTTAAATGCGCAGAATATATTTACCTGGTGTTTTTTGTATATTAATTTGTCCCTGTACACAAAGAGATCATCATTTTGAATTTTTTCAAATGGATTCAATTCAGGTTTTTCAAAGTAATCTGCACAAAAACAACTAGTTTTTAATTAAAAAAATTTACTAAAAAAAATATTTTGAAATAATTAATTATCAGATAAAATCATTCTAAAGTAGAGAAAACATCAAATCAATGAGAGGAACAAGAATTTAGTACCACTAAGTCTTCTAGGAAATGCAGTAGCAGTGCTAGGGTCAAATATCTTGGTCTTGGAAGACTGGGCAGGTGCTGATTGCTTCAGTTGTTTTGTTGACATCCTGCCAGCTGCTATTTTGCTGTCTGCAGTGAAAATCATCATTAATTGGTGTATTAATATTAATCTATCAATATTTTATGATGAAGGTTTGCAGGTATAAATTGATTAGGCATATAATATAGTGTTTGTTATAAGAGTACCTGTTTTCAATATTTAAAAATTTTTTGCTAGTTTCTTCAAGTTAATATTTTAAATGTTTGTATATGAATCTGTATATGTATAATAATGCTCTTATTTATCAGTGTTTCTGTTTAAAAAACACCTTCATAAATAAATGCATGAACATAAGAACAAAAAATTCAATAAATTGAAATTAATAAACATGACTAACATCGGATTTTCTTATCCTTAACAGAAACTATTTTCGGAAGTGAGGTCGTCATTATTATTTATATTTTACAGGAAAAATAGTAGAAAGTCAATTCTGAAAAAATTTTATTCTAAACATTTCCATGACAACGGTAACTTTTAAATGCATAGATGATGCAAGTTATGATTTACATTTTACTGTGTCATCTATCGACTCATTTCTAATTTTCAAGTCAAGGCTTATCTAAATAATTCATTTTTTTTATTCAGGGACAAATTAAATATTTGATTTATGAAATTGCATTAAATTACAATAAATTTTTTAAATTAGCAAAATTTATTTTCTTACGATTTTAACTGTAAATAGAAGATGAAATTTTGAAGAGTAAACTATATTAGGCATTGCTCATGTAAAATTGTGTGTTATTGCTTGAAAATATCTAAAAAACAGTTTTACTAAAATATTTTATTCTCGAAAATGTCATGTATGCCTTCTTGAAAACAAAAGATCTCTCCAACAGTTTGATATGGATTAGTAAACTTGAGCGTTCCTAAGTCAGGATGGCCGAGCGGTCTAAGGCGCTGCGTTCAGGTCGCAGTCCGGTTCTCCGGGCGTGGGTTCAAATCCCACTTCTGACAATATCTTTTTTAGTTTGATATTTAATGCTTTATGATTTTTATGATTGTTTTAATTAATTGTGTTTGGTCTAGATAATAAATTTATTTCGTTCGTTTCAGAACTTTGCGAATGGTAATTTTTGTATTTTTAACTATATTAAAACCTTTTATTCTTATTTTTATGCCTTTTCGGTGCTGGTTACCTTTTCACCCAAGTAGATAAAGTTTTCCACCTCCAAATTCAGATGCACTGTTTATTCTACAAAATTTTATTTTCCAATGTTTATTTTTCTTGAAAAAGTTTCGTAAAAAATTGTTTGAATTTGAAAAACTATCACAGGTAAAAAATTTTTCAATAGAATTTCAATATATATCTTGCCATTTATAATGAATTTCAAACTTATTTAAACACAACTTGAATATAAATCTTCCTTCTTTTTTGTGAACTTAGTTAAAACCGGCCTAACATTACAAAAGTCGTCGTTAGCATTTTCGTATTTAGAGTATTATTTATTTGAAAACTTTATTTGGAAATTTTTTTTCTAATTTTTTTGAAAGTTATTTAAAACTTTCCAGGTACGAAAATGTTTCACTACAATTTCTACGGTAATTCGAATGTAGTATAAACTCACATCAAGTACATATCTTGTTTTTAAACACTCTATAAAACTTGGTAAACATTTCAACCTGAAAATCTGCAACAAATTGTGAAAAAAATTTCAATAACAGATGTTACCATGGCTCAATAACGTTCAATTAACTTTGATTTTTTTAAACTAATATCAACACTGCTGCTCTAGCTAGCCCTGTACAAATACTATGCACGCATTTCTCTTCTGTTTTTTTCTACACAAAATTTATATTGTGAAGTATAATAGTAACCCACTGTGTGTTTGTGTGTGTGTGTGCTTGTGTGTGTTTGTATGTTTACATGTATTTGTATGGTATACAAGTTCTATGGGTGTGTAATGTGTATACAAATATAAATGTAAAATACATGCGTGTGTTTGTGTTTGTTTTTTTGTTTGAGGGCGTAGGTGTGCATGGTTGGATGTGTGTTTTATGTGCGCCGGCTTTATCAAATGTTTTGATATTGTGATTCGCAACATTTTGTTGTGTGTTGAATATTTGAACGGATGTTATTAAAGTTAAAGTTTATTGTTAACTGAATAAAAAAATTGCATTTTAAACATTGTTAGACATTAAAAGAAGAAGTAAAAATATTAATTTATTATTCAAACCTCTCAACAGATAATAAGTGCTTCAACAGAGTTCTTTAACATATTTCATTAACTTTAGCGGCAACAGATTTCACCAATGACATTGTTATATTAGTAAGATGATATATTAGTAAATACGTATAATCTTACGTACACGCATAGTGAATGCGTACCTATTTGTGTATATTACGTGCACATGGACATATTCGTGTACATGTTTGTATTGTTTGCAGATACTATTAATTACCTATGTGGCATGTTTTTCTTCAGCTTAGGATGCCTTTCTACGTAAAAACATTATTTACTTTGTTCGGACGGACGACTCTAAACATGTGTTGTGTGCAAACCTGTAGTACACTTCATGTACGTACAGTGCACGTGACACAAATGAATGCACATACATTAGAAATACACTCGCCAAATAATATATACAAACGTATCTAAAATGTATTTGCGTGTGTAAAACTTTTAAAGCACGTTGCATTACGTGTGCACGTGATTCAAAGTACCTATGAGTTGTCGTTTATTTTATCTTTTTTCTAACTTTTTACAATAAATAACAAATTGGATCAAATATCTAAAAATTGCACGTGTGAATGTGTGTACGTGTGTTGGAATGAATGATGCACGTGTGTATGTTGTATTTACTACATATTAATTAATGTTTTCTAATGGCTAATCAATTTTTTGTATGCGTTTGCGAATATGAATGTGCGTGTTGTTCGTGTATGATATACCTATATATGTGTGTGAATTATGTACGTGTGAAATATGTGCGTGTGAAATATGTGCGCGTGTTCGTGTAGCGTCTGTTTTTATCAACTGCTGAAAGAAGCCATCATAGTCTAACATATCTCTCAACGTTAAAAGATCATAAAACTCTTTCAAATTCATTTGCTACGCTTGACTGGTGAGTTTTTTTTTATGTCATTTGTTTTATTTTTTAAAATTCACTTAGGGTAATTTTTTAAATTTTAATTTGTTTATTTCTGGTTGATAACTTAATTTTTGACATTCATGTCTCTAGGCCTTTATTTGACTTACCTTACATGAATTATTTCAGATAAATATAAAATCTATTCAATTTCGGTGTTGAAATCAACAGACATGTATTTCCGGCTGTTTCGAGCAATTAACCTCAGCGATCATTCAATTTACGTGTTCACAAATTAAACGAGCGTTTGCGTTAAACTGAAGTGGGGATCTCTTTGCAATCAAATCAGGTCACCGCAATAGCAGTGCCAGGCACTTTACCGCTACACTACCACGCTGTCTAATTAATTAATAATTATTGATAAGAATACCTTAGTAATAATAATAGTTATTATTATTAATTCACTCTGACAGATTAGAGTGAGATAAAACTTTCCAGAAGACCTGATCGAAAAAGTTTGAAAATGGTATCGAAAGCAATGAAGTGTGGCAAATACGTCTTTTTTGTCCTCAATCTTATCTTGTTTGTGAGTTTTTTTAGAGTTAAATTGGTTAGGCAATTTAGAATTTAGTTGCTCTGTTACTTTCCAAGTGATTAGTGATTGGATGTTATTACAATTGTCGTTGTTTTATACTTTTTCTATTTAATCTCTTTGCTCTCAATAAATCTTTTTTGCGTTTTTAAACAAAATTTTTCGCAAATAATAAAAAAATTCATTTTATTATTATAAATATTTAAATTTTTTAAAAATAAACAAGTCAATCAGTATTTATATTTAATCATTGTAGTAAATGTTTGAATTTATTTAGATATTCATCCATGATGGTTGAAATTATAAATATTCCATATAGCTCTTAAACTTTCACATGACGTTATTCGTGCCTCGCTTGATGTTATTGAAAATTTCAATTAGCAATTCATACCATACCCAATCGATAGGTTGATGAATTGTATTGATTACATTTATGAAACAAATTATCATTTGGTCATGTTGGGCACGTCCAAACGTACACACACGTACACTCGATACACGCACATATACACGCACACTCACGCACGCACACTCACCCACGCACACATACACGCACACTCACTCACGCACGCACGCATATCATACTACGAAACTAAATTTTGTTTAGTAACAAAAATTTCATGAGACATGCATACACGCACACACTCACGCAAACATTTATATAAATAAGAAGAGTGTTAAAAACTTATGACAGATAGGATAAACGTCATAAACGTCAGTCTTGACAGGCTTGAATATTTACAATTGTTCATTCCAATCAAATGCTGACTTACCTTATCGCAGACTTCAATTCATTACTTCAGTATTTTTTCAAATGCCAGCATGTCAATGACTTCATTTTGATACATAATACGTGCATATATAAGAGTATATAAGAGTATGCAAATGTATAGATGTATATTTTGTATCTGGACATATATTTATATCGTTTTATGTACTCACGGAGTCCGTACAAGTGAGTTATAACTTTTGGCCTCCAAGTTCATTAAATAAATAAAAATATAGAATGTGTAGGTATGTGCGTCGCATTGGTGTGGTGTGGATAGTACAGCCTTCGTGGCACGAAAGTTTAACTTACAAGTGTAGGTAGGACAGCAGGAAATGACTCTCCACTCGATTCTTTGGAACGACGCAGGTTGCGGGCATAGCATTGATAGTGGCTGGCGTTCTTGTGCAGTCAAAGTTCAACGACTACTTCGCATTCTTCAGTGGAAAAGTAAACTACGCCTCCCTCTTCATCATCGTCGTCGGCGTCATCATCTTCTGGGTGGCCTTTTTTGGCTGCTGTGGATCTTTCAAGGAGAACCGTACCATGATGATTGTGGTTTGTTGTGGATGGGATGGAAAGTATGGGTGGTGGGGAAGTTGGAACTGGGTATGATTGTTTGTTGTTGGATTGCTGTTGTTGCTTGTTTTTTTTTATTGACATGGTGTTATTGCAATATGTTGTTCGATTTTAAACGAACCCGATGTAATTAAATATCATGATTGGAGATATAAAACTTCCGTGAGAACTGCTCTACATGTGATTGTGGAGAGGTTTTTATGGAGGAAACTTCTTAAGATAAACACCATTTTATTTCCGTGTTTTAACTTTCTATAACATTTCACAATTGAAATTTTTTTTATCACTTTAAATAAAAGATATTCTGTTAATTAATGACGTTTAAAAAGTTGTTACATCTTCACTGATGACATGCAGTACATGATAATGGTGGTCCTTGTCATCATTTTGGAGATTGCACTGGTAGTCGCAGCGCATTTCAACTCCGCTCAAGTTTGTATAAGAATTTTTTTATTTTTTATTTATTTAATTATTTATAACAAAAATGAAAATAGGCGGTGATCTTCAAATATTCGATTCGAACTCGGTCACTAGGACAGAAATGCCTGGCACCTTAACCACTTCTCCATCACTTAATTATTTTTTTCACATTTTTATTTTCCTTCAGTTACATTTACATTTTTAAATTGTTAAATAAATAAAGTTTGAGAAATTAATCAAATTCACTTTTTCACGCTCGCGCATATTAACAATGCTAACCTCCTGAAAGCTATAACATGTGTTGTCCATAAATTTATTGATTAGATTGAATAGATTTTATTACTGAATGAAAATATATTTCTGAACTAATTTTTACAACTTTAAGACAGTAAAATGTGTCAAATCTTTTTAAAATAGATAATAACAGTTTGAAATAATATTGCACAGTATTTTAATAATAATATTGAATAAAATATTTATATGTACGTGATTAACACGATCGGCAGATTGAAGACAAGATGGCTAGCAAGATGAGGGAAACCATCCCAAAGTACGACCTCTCCAACCACGAACAAGGGATTGGATTTACTTGGGACAAACTTCAAAAAACGGTTCCTCGCTTTTTTAATATTTATTAATACCGTAGACCAAAAATGACGTTGTTTTTTTTGACAAATACACCATTAATAAAAAATATTTGAAAAACGGCGAATTAAAACAACAATCCACCCACACATATATAGACCCAAACTAAAATATTGATTAACATTTGATCAAACCAAACTCAGTTAAAGTGCTGTGGAGTGCAGATCATTTCAGACTGGTACGATGGGAACTCTCAAATGGAGTACTTGCAGACTGTTCCTGATTCGTGCTGTATCGAACCAAGTGTGGGATGTGGTAAGGTCGGAAACCACAGTTTGACTAGTGAATATGTGAAAGACACGTATAATATACAGGTCAGATACTTCGAGGTTTTTGGCTGTTTTCAATGATATCTGATACTTTTAATGTTTGAAGAGTTGACACTTTTTTTATACCTGATATTTAGTGGGGTGAAAATGTTTACAGGGTTGTGCCCCGGCGCTTAAAATGAAGTTTAAAGACAATGAAATAATCATCATTGGGGTCATCTCGGGACTGGCTGTCTTGAAGGTGTGTTTATTATTGAGATACATTTATTCAGGACATATTATTATTTTAGAATATCTGAAAACTATAATTGCATTGTATATAGTAAAATTTATTTATTAAATTACACAATTCTGTAAAGTTGCGCCTGAAAAACGAAGTTTAAAAATTGAAATATTTGCTAGAAACTACAAGTTGTATTTAGAAAGGAGCAAATTTCAGTTTTACAATGGGGTGTCACTGAGAATTGTCACCAAATTTTTGCATGAATCGATTTATCACCCGTAGAAAGTTCACTTTACTATAAAACCGGATCATAAACATTTTAACTGAATTTTTGTTATTTTTTGATGAATTTATTATCATCTAACAACAGTGTGCACCATTTTTAGTTTTGCTAAGATAGCAAAAGATGCTTCAAGCATTCGTGAAATAATTTTGTTGTGTGATACGTGAAATTATTTAAATTAATTTTAATTTTTCAAAAATTTCTAATGAATAAACATTTTTCCTTTTAGCTGATCATGGCCATTCATGCTGCCTTGCTAGCCAAGGCATTCAGCAAGGAATACCAAACCGTTCAGTAAAGGAAAGAGATTTTGGTGATGGCGAAGAACATATTCAATTAAACTTTGAAAATTATGAAAAACATTTAAATAATTTATTCTAAATAATATTTTTGATGATAAATCTGCAAAATTTACTTGAACATAAATTATGGTGAGGAGGTTTAAATATCAAACGTTAGTATATAATGTATTCCGATCAAGTCTTCTAACATTTTTTCGTGTTTAGCTATAAAAATTTTTTTGTTTGAATGAAATTGACATCAGAATTAGTTATAACAATTATTCAACTCAAACATGCTATATAATTAATGACATTTATGAGATAAATATTAGGCCTTTATTACAATAAAAGTTTTTTTTTAGTAGCCAGCCAAAACTAACTGACAAAACTTGCATAACACCAAACCTCATCATTCAACCTAATTGAACTATTTGCCAAAAAATTTGAATAAATTAAGTTACGAAATAAATTTTATCGTTAAAATCAATTTGTAAAAGACTAAAAATTTTTCTGTGATTGCCAACAAACCAACAGCGAATTGCAATGCTATACTACTACTAATACGACTACTACTACTACTACTACTACTACTACTACTACTGCTGCTGCTGCTGCTGCTGCTGCTGCTGCTGCTACTACTACTACTAGTACTAGTACTAATGCAGCTGCTACTATTACTACTACAACTACCAATAATAATAATAACATTCTTTCATGATCGTAATCGTTTCTTAAGCGTTCAGACGTAATTAACATCGCGTCAATAAATTCAAATAGCTCAATCATCGATCGTCAAATTCAAATGACTGACTGCCTTCAATCTTCAACTGTATCAAACTAACCTTAAGAAATGTGAGTTCACTGCGTTTCAGTAAACAAGAAACTATTAGCGGCGTTATTTGTTTTTTTTCTATTTTACTTCTGAAATTCCTTAATTTAAAATAATTTTACATGAGAAATGAGTAACGCCAATAAAATTTTGACATTTTGCGGCCACCTATCCAAGAAGTTAGTCTACGTCTTTAACTACGTCTATCTCGTTAGTATGATTGTGTCGGTGTGGTTGTATCAGCAAGATTAATTATTTAGAAAAGGTTTCAAATAAAAATTATATTTATTAAAATAAAATTCGGAATGTATCAAAAAACAGAAACAATTGGTATATTCTATATATAAATAAAGAAATAAGTAAAAAAAATTTAAATAAATTGACAAACAATTTTTAACACTCATCATAAAAAAGCATAACAACTATTTATAAATCGCAATAAATATAATATAATTTTCAATAAAAAAACCAACGAAATTAACCTAAACTTTATTTAAAAAAATTAATATAAATATTTAACACTATAAAAAAAATTATATATGAAGATCTTGGGCTTGTGTCTAACAACAGTCGGTTCCCTAATGGGGTACAAACACGAAGAATTCTTCCGAATCATGGGCAGAAACGTCAACTACATCAGCATCTACGTCATCGTCATCGCCGTCATTCTTATCAGTCTGGCTTTTTTCGGATGCTACGGATCTCTTAGTGAGAAGCTATGGATGATTTACGTGGTACGTACGTGTCCTTGTTTACAATGTATGTATATGGTTTTGTTATGCGGAAATATAAACTTTCTTTTTGGGTTGTTGTTACTGGTGAAAATGTGATTATACCTATAAGACTGTTAATTCTGGATGAACATCTATTATTTATTACATGATCAAACGACAATTTAAACAGTTGCATGGTTTCGCGAATGTTCGTTTACCTTTCAAACAGTTTACTGGTTTGCAGGTCTGTGTCATCGTTCAAATGTCGGTTGCCGTTGCAATCATCATACAGTCTCACCGTTCAGTCAGTCATTTGAAACTCATCTTCTGATTATAAAATAATTTAAAACATTTTTTTTAAATCCGAGACTATACCATAAAAAACTATAATTATAAACGACATAATTTTGAGATATGAAATCGAACATTAACGATCCAACAACAACAACGACAACAACAACAACTTGCTAGTTGGAGGTGACATTATTGCGAGCAATGAAGCAATCGATGAGCAGATACGACGTCCAGCAACGAAATCATGACGTCAGAGCAGCATGGGACTACCTACAGAGAAGCGTCTGCAATCATTTGTTTTACCAAGAAAATAAAAGTTTTCATTTTAAATGACACACACATAGATAAACAAACACAAACAAATACACAATTTTTAGTTTTCCTCTAATCGCTGTGACAGACTTCAGTCGCTCTTCTTGATTGCCAATTCAGATTTTTTAATGTTACAATCATGCAATTTTTAGTGAATATACTAAGAAATTAACTTATTTGACGAAAAAATGATTAAAAAATTAACAGTTTCAGTGTTGTGGAGCGGAAACAGCTTCCGATTGGTCTTTCCACAAACTGCATCTCAACCAATCACTGCCAAGCACATGTTGCATTGATGGCGGTGAGAATATCTGTCGGATCGGCCAAAAAAATGTTTTCACAAAGGTAAGCCCTGCAGTTTAATTAATAAATAGATACTCACTAAAACTCACTAATGTTAACAATGGCTCTGATTGGTTTAAAGCAGGGGTGGGCAAATTTTTGCGGTGCCCTCACCACATTGAGAACTATTTTACCTTTGAAGGGCCGCATATGTACTCAAATAGCAAATTATTTCGACCCAGGAAAAATTTTTTTAAGATTTGTGGCTTTTTTTGGTCATAATATCTGACTAACGACCTTTTTTGGCGAACAAGGCTTCGCGGGCCGCATAAAATGCTTCGCGTAGGCTGTAGTTTGCCCTCCCCTGAGTTAAATGATTGATTGGCCCATTGTTTGATTGATTTATTGAACGTTTGAATGATTGAATAATTGATCGATTGATTGGTTGAATGTGCAGGGCTGCTTGAAGAAATTAATGGATGCGGTCGACTTCTACCTTTTATCGCTCGTCAGTATTGGAATCGCTCTCATAGTTGTTGAGGTGATGTGTTCTCTTTTATCAAATTTTTAGTTTGAATTCTTTTATTATATAATAAATATACTTTATTACTATCAGTTACCTAACTAGAGACATTATTTCTTTGTATTTTTCAAAATATTGCAAAAATTTTTAAAAATTATTTCCAAATATTAATACAGTTTTTTGAAGAACTAATTGAGATTTTTTGCGATTTAATTTGAAGGTTTTAGGTATCATAGTTTCATCATTTTTGATAGTGGAGTTGAAGAACGACTGATACTGGTAGAATGATTCAACACCAATACACTCATTCCATTTATTCTATCATCATTATAAAATTTTCAAAATTCTAATCACATCCAACTGAAACATATATTTTCTTAACTTCAAAAACATACAACAAACTCTACTATTTTTATTTCACGTTATAATATCCTCAACATTGTAACGATTTTTGAAAATTTGAATTTTTTTATGGTTTTCATCATTATAAACAGAATTTAACTTACTATCATTTGTTTTTATATATACTTAATTGTATCAGTGATAATCACAATATAGGTTGTAGAGAAAAATCTATTATAGGCATGGATATATATAAGATACGTTTATTTACAATACAAGTGAATTTTACAATAGTGAGGATATAAATGTTGCTATTAAATTGTTAAAAACTGAATTTGAACTGCTAAAATTAGATAAAACTGAAAAATTTCCATCACGTGGCAGTGGCGGTAATAAACGTGAAAAGTTAGTTGAATGTCTAAATTTGTTTAAATATTTTAAAGCGAACAATTTGTTGGATAAATTGCCTGATTTTTGTAGTATTAATATGGATAAAATTCCTAACATGGAAAAATGGTTGAAACTAAATTTTGAATATATAAAAAATGAAATAAAACAACTGTTATCTAGTCAGCAAACTCAGATTAATAAAATGTTACTGTCGTTTCATCTTGATATTGAAAATTTGAAAACTAAGTTCAATAATCTTGAAAATGTTGATAAAGTAAATGACAGCAATAACCGGGAGCTATTACCGGCATATCGTCAACAATCTAACGACAATTTAAAGGATATAAATGACACAAGTGTTTTTAGTAATAGTGTAGAAACGATTTCTACACCATGGACAAATGTTGGTGTGCTAGCTGCTGCAAAAACAAGCTGTGATTTACAATCTGACGACAACGCCAGTGACGACCGATTTACACTAGTTCAGAAAATTAAGAAAAGGTCTAAATCAAGAGCATTACCGACACCTGCAAAACCTGTCCAACTTGCTGTAAAAAACGACAAGGACTCACTAGCAAAACCTACCAAGTCTGAAGCTTCTGTAACAACAAACCAACTCAATATAGCAAAACCTACTAAGATTGTGGGATCAATGACAACCAATCCACTCTTCACGGCATCTAAATCTATCATTAGAAAAAAAATCTTCTACATTGGTAATGTGAACTTGCCTGATAGTAGCGTTATAATTAAACATTGTGAAAGTAGGGGAATAAAGTTGATCTCATGTAATCCAACTACCAAACCTCTTGGACCTGATGAAGTTCAAATAAATCATACTTCGTTTAGGTTATGTGTTCCAGCCGATGAATACAACAAAGTCATGTCCACGTCAAACTGGCCCAGTTCAGTTATCATACGAGAATGGATATTTAACAGAAACAACACCAAGTCTGATAACGTTTTATCCAGTGCTTCAACAGTTTCAACAAAAAATGATACAAACCTCCCCGAGAGCTCCGCAAACAACAACATTGCCAATCCAGAAAGCTGACTATGTGAACCAAATGTAAAGAAAAGTGATAAGATATTTGATGAAAGTAACATTTTTTTAAACAATTCTACATTTGATAGAAATAATAATTCTCTAAATTATAATTTTAATTTTGATATTGATTTAAATTATGACTGCATTCTGTATAATCAAGTTTCCATGTACTTTACTATTGAACAGTTTAAATCAACGTTGTACACTAAATTAAATAACAATTTTTTCATCGTTCATATAAATTGTAGGAGCTTATTTGCTCATATATTTGATATAACTCAATTTGTAAATATTCTTAATTCATTTAATCACATAGTATGTCTGAGTGAAACTTGGTTGAGTGATGGTGAGGATTATAGCTCACTAAAAACAACTTTTCCTTGTCACAATTTAGTTAATAACAATAGGATATATAAGAAAGGTGGCGGAACTGGTTTTTTGATTAGAAATAATTTAATTTATGAAATTGTAGAGAAAATTAGTCATAATTTCAATGATTATGAATGGAGTGGTATCAAATTAGTTTGCAATTCCAAACCCTGTTATTACATATGCATTTATCGCCCGCCTAGTGGTAAGTTAGACGACTTTTTTAATAGATTGCAGGAATTTTTAAATAACCTTCTTTCTACTAATTTTAAAACTGAATGTTATATAATAGGAGATTTCAATATTAACTTGGCTGTTAACAATAATGCTTCTCAGACGTTTTTAGACATTCTGGCTGGTTTTGATCTATACCCTATCATAAATCAATCTACCAGAATCACTGACTCAACCTCATCCATCATTGATAATATTTTTACAAATTATAAAAGCAATGTCTTTACAAAGGGTATACTACTGGTAGATATCTCTGATCACCTTCCAATCTTCCTTGGCTTACCTGATAAGTTTACATCTATTTCTTTCAATTTTAAACGCAATTGCTTAAAAACTAGGCTAATCGACCCCCACAAAATTGCCCTAGTTAATGAGAATTAAGCTGTAATTAAATGGGAACCTCAGTATGGAGTTGATCTTGATTCTGTATACGATGGTTTCTTCACGAAATACATGGATGTTATAAATTTCAATTGTCCTGTTATATGCACGAAAAATCGTTTTAGAAAAACTTGGATGAACATCAATCTCTACAATAGTTATATGGATAAAAATAAACTCTACCTCAATTACCTTCAAAACCCAACGTCATGCAATAAAACTTTGTATGCTAGATCCAGAAATGATTTTATTAAATTGAAAAGAATTGCAATAAAAAAGTTTTATTCAAATAAATTTGAAAAATGTACCAATACCAGAGAGAAATGGAAAATTATGAATGAAATATTAGGAACAAATAAAGGTAACACCAATCTTTTTCAGGATGTTTCAGATATGAACTGTAAATTAAATATAGTTAACGGTATCAACAGTTTTTTCATTCAACAAGGCACAATATTAAATAATAATTTCAAAAATACTTCAAATGTTACTAACCTTGATGTCATGCAAAACCAAATTAACTCTTTTTATGTAGAAGAAGCATCTCCTGATGAAGTGGTTGCAGTTGTCCAAAAACTAAAAATTAGTAATACTTATGATTGTGATTTTCTGTCCTCCAATTTAGTAAAAGAGACTATAAAATATATAGCTGGGCCATTATCTATGCTATTTAATTATTCTATCAACATAGGTAAATTTCCTAGCCGCATGAAAATTGCAAAGGTTCTACCTGTTTTCAAGAATGGCGATCCTAAACTTTATGAAAATTATCGCCCAATATCGATACTTCCCATTTTTTCAAAGATCTTTGAAACGCTAATGTTCAATAGACTGTGGAAATTTATTTTACAATTTAATATAATCAATAAACAACAATATGGCTTTATTCCCAAATCGTCGACTGAATGTGCAATTGCTGAACTTTGGTGATAACATTGTTATAATTATTGCTGTTGTCGTAATTGTTGTTGTTATAATTATAATGATTGTTGTTTTTATTTAGTAGTCTATTTGAAGGTAGAATGTTGTTAGACTGTACTTGAATGTTCATGGAGGAATTAAATATTGTTTTTAAATATTGTATATATATATATATATTAGGAAGAAGACCAAGTTCTATTCAGTTGTTCAAAAAATAATAACAATAATAATAATAATAATGATAATAATAATAAAAATAATAATTAATAATATTAATAATAATAATAATAATAATAGAAACGATATTCTAATTAATTTCGCGCTTCAAATTTGTGACATTGTTGGTTGCCATCTTGACAACGGCCACGTAGCATGAACAATCGTATAATTTCAAATATTTTGTTTACTAATTTCAATGAACCTTTGCGTTTTTATTTCGTTACTTTTATTTTATTTTAATTTATTAAAAAATACAACTAATTAACTATTAATAGAATTTATTTAAAATATATATTGCACTGATGATGACTTTACGTCGAAATAGATCTATATGCATAACTTTAATAATAATATAAAAAAAAAAATAAATAAATAAATAAACGATTATAAAAATGGGATCTTGCTTGATTAATTTTAACAATTAAAATCATAAACGATTATAAAATGGATTTCAACATTTTGAATAGACTTAATTGTAAAGAACTAGTTCAAAATATTAGAAAATCAACCATAAAACTTGTTAATGCTGAATCGTCGGTGGATATATATATATATATATATATATATATATATATATATATATATATATATATATATCTGATATTACATCCATGATTACAGATTTTTATAGGGAATAAATTTATCAAGTAAGCAATGTATCAAAATGTGTATTTATTAACGGTTTTTGGTTATTTTAACCTGAAAACACGACGTATACAAGGGAATGGATATGTGCTGTGTTAAACTGAACCGTATCGATATGAGCAACTGTTTTAGCGCTTATTAAGAATAAAATAATAGTTTACAATTTTTCAAAATTTATTTAGATGTAAATTTAAATAAATTTATTCTGGTCATATATCATTAAATGTAATTATTTCGTATTTTGATTGTTATTACGATATATTATTGCTTGGCAATTACTGTAGGTCTGGCTACATTATAATTGCTTAATATTCCAGTTTTTAGTCATTTATCACAAATTTAATTATTAGCTTACGTGTGTAATTAATGTCCTTTCTGAATAAAATTCGATCTACGTATATTCTCATATAATGACTAAAATAAACTATAATATAGATATATGTCGGTTAAACTCGTCAACATACCGATCCTTATCAGCCATCTCTGAATTCGAAAAACATGCCGACCGGAGTTTCGCTAATATTTTTTATTTTATCTATAATCGCCTTAACGTGCGAAGGTTTATATTTTTACATTTCGGAAACTGAAAAAAAATGTTTTTCCGAAGATTTAGCAGACGATACCATCGTTGTTGGTAATTATGCTTTATTTCTATTGTACACCTGAAATTAAAAGTAATAAATATGCTATGCTCTCCTTTCCTGTTTCCAGGCCTGCCTATTTTAATTTACATTTATTTTATTATTTATTAATTACTAATTCATTATTGATTTAAATTGAATGCTTTAAAATGCTCTCTGATTAATTTCAATTTATAGATAGTTTTCCATCTGAGTTTACTTACATTTTTAAAGTACTAACTAAACCTAAAAAGTTGGTTTTAAGAATGTTGAGCTTATTTTATTTTTATTGTATGACTTTTCTCTTGGGCAACTCTGATTTTTGCCATAATTCATTATTTGCTTAAAAATAAAACTAAATACACTCTCCAATTCAATTTTGTTTTTGGTAAACTATATATAAAATAAACTTGATTAAAAGTTTCATTATAACTAGTTCTTTAGTATTTATTAAATATTAGTATTATTAAATTAATATTTAATTTTATTATACTGCTGTTATTAAATAAAAATTTCAGTTGTTTAGAAGCTAACTAAACTAAATACTTGAATGAATTTATGACAAAAAGGAAGGAATTTAATGATTTTTAAATAAAATTGTATTGATTTTTTTATTTACAATTTACATCAAGTATAAAATAAAAATTAACTTTTAAAATTTTTAAGGAAAGTACAAAGTGGAGATATATGATAAAATTCAGAACAGGTACATACCAACAATACCAGGGTTAGGTATGCATGTAGAAGTACTCGATCCTGAAGACAGACCAATTATGTCTAGGGTTTGTACTGAGTACACAACAATACAATAAAATGTTTAAACATTTAAAACAATTTGTTTCATTAAATCATTAATTTGTTGTAAAATTCAATATTTTTCCACTCTTTCATTTTTTAGGTAAAACATACGCTTCCATTTGTTAAATTAGTTGTTTTAAATTGATGTTATTTTACTAATGATGTTCTGCAGACCTATTCTACAGAGGGCAAGTTTTCATTTAATTCCCACTCTCCTGGTGAGCATATCATATGCTTGCACTCCAACTCTACTGCTTGGTTCGGAGGGGCTAAACTGGTCTGGCTTGACTGTTTCTTTTAACTATATATTAAATTCTTTTATTAATTCAACTATCTAATGTTTATTCTATCAAATCGTCTATTTATTGAATTTTTAACTCTTTATAAATTTTAGAAAGTGTTCTTGTCGATAAGTGTTGGTGAAGCAGCTACAGATTACAAGGAGGTAGCTAAGAAAGAAAAATTGAATGAATTGCAACTCAGGGTTCTACAGCTTGTTGAGAAAGTTGAGCAGATTTCTAAAGAACAATCTTATCAGAGGGTTAATTTTTATTAACCTTATTTAGTTATATCTAAAATTCATTTAGGTTAAATTAAATTTACAATGATGAATCTTCGTCAGGTTAGAGAAGAAAGATTCAGACAGACAAGTGAGAGTACCAGTCAACAGGTTCTTTGGTGGGCCATTGGGCAGACTGCCCTCCTCATCATCGCCAGCTTGTGGCAGTTGAAACATCTGAAAGGATTTTTTGAAGCAAAGAAATTGGTTTAATTAAAATGGCGTTGAACGTGAATATGGTTGTTATATTAATTTATTTAAAATTAAAAATGGCGTTGCTCTTAGATTAATATTTTCAATGTAATTGTTTTATGCCAGGCCAGGTGATTTAGTGTTTTATTTATTCATCAAACGAATTTAATTTAAAATCGTTTCGCAATTATTACTTGCTCGTGTGCACAGCGCATTCCTCTACTGTCTATCTGCTATTTAACAAAATTGTAGTTGATTCATTTTTGTAAATTTATATTAAAAGGAACCGACCTTGCTGTCCTTGTTGATGGAACCCATGTTTCATTAATTATCTTGAAACTTGGGTTAAATATTAACAAATTGTTGGTTGATTTGTCTATTTCAATTTTAAAGAGCTAGGCTTGTAGAACTCGTTATTTGTTTTCAATTTCTGTTTTCAACGTCTGTATTGTTAAACTTTTTAAAACGCCACGGAACGGATTGCTCTTAATCGTTACATAAATTTTTAAACTTCAACCAAGTTTGAATGCTTTGAATCGAAAAAATTTGACTCGTGTTCGCATTTGTAGTTTCATCTGGATGAGTCTACTATTTGAAAGTTAGTGGGTATGATATTTTTCTTTTGAAAAGATTTTTCCCAATATATTGTTTTTGAGAATGTTGACCGACCTCGCGAATGCCGGTTCAACATATTTTATCTGTTCGACGATATCTGAATATGTTGGTTCGCGTGCATAAATTATATGAAGAGTTGAATTTTTCGCTAGTAGCGTTATAATTGATTTGTGCAATCTGTAAATATGGCATCTGTCGGCTACTGAAATATCATTTTGTTTAAGAAAGGCAAGGTTAATATATTATATTATATAAGAATATCTGGAGATAATTGAATGGGTTTGGCGCGTTAGACTGGAGATATTGATTGCTTGTCAAGACATCGGGTCACCGCACATATTTTCGCTGGTATTTCTGCTCTATCTGTGCGCAATGCGCGTGTTCGCGGAATTGCACTGTGTATTTTACGCAAGTGTGTATGTCTGAGATGGATGTGTTTATGTTTCACACCAGATTATGAGTGTTTATCTATGTTTGTGATGATTTTGTTTATTATAATTCGTTTTTTGTAATAATTTTAAAGAACCATCTTAAAAAGTCATAAATATTTATTTAAAATTTTATTTCACGTTATGTTATGATCTTACGTCGAATTTGATTGAACAAAATGTGAGAAGCTGCAACAAGTAAGAAACGCAGTGTAATTCGTTCCAAAATAACGTAATTGTGTCTGCACTATTTGCACTGTTTGGATTCGCAAGTCCGAGGACCTCGCATCTATAGAAACATATCAGATGCTAAAATAACAAAAGTACAAACACGAGTCAGACGGAAGGAATGTGGAAGCACGTATTTATGAATGTACGTATATGAGCCTGTATGTAGATGTATGTTATGTATACACAACTACACATTCATCTATTCGTATGCTGTATATTTTCGCCTATATGCCGCCTCTAATAGCTGTAATCAGTTGTGATATTGTGTTAGTGTTTCATCTGCATAAAATAATGGGTGCATGTTGCTTGCGCGTGTTTTCTAGTGAATGAACATTCGTTTGAATGTGCAAATATGTTATCTAACATTCCTTTATTTTATATTCCTGTGTGGCGAACTTGTCTGAGCAGATAATATCACCATTGAAACATGAATGTGATGATGTACCGTTGTATTTATCACATAAAATATCAATCAAGTTTTCGTATTCAAGTTTGTGGTATTTATGGCTGTTCAGTTGTTTTAGCTATAATTATATCAATTGTTATAATTATTATTATTTTGTATTTTTGATTTATGCAGTTCTGACGAACACGTAAACTAAGCATGAGCATGCAAATAAATCATATGCGACATGGTATCACGCGGGATTCGAACTCGGTGAGCGAACAACAGTTGGCATGACATTCATACCACCAAAGCTAACTCGCCGACCATATTCAAAGTTATATATATTATATATACATATATATATTCTTTGTTCTTATATATATATATATATATATATATATATATATACATACATGGGATATATATAACCCATTTGAATATTGAATATTCAAATGTGGGGTAATATTCAACAGAACATATCTATCCCAAAATCTTATTCCAATGTATACACACACACACACACACACATATATATATATATATATATATATATATAGAGAGAGAGAGAGAGAGAGAGAGGAAGGGGAAAGGGAAAGAGAAAATTGGTGAATATGATGACGCAATTTCCGCTCTCCATTATGAAACTTCATTATCACTTTTTATTAAGTACACATCTCCAGTCTCAAAACTTTTCATTGCATTGTTTTTTTTATTGCTAATCAGCCTTTATTTGTTATATTTTTCTAATGTTGTGGGATTTATTAATTTTATTCTGTTGATTTTTGTATGTTTTTGTTGGTTGTTCAAATTTTAAAAATGGTTTTTTCTCTATAAAAGTATGATATCATAAACATTATACTAATCTTATATAGGAACTATGAAATATGAATTGAAAATTTTTTGTTGAGTGCGTATGCGTATGGACAGAGTTTGGTTCATTTTTGGAAAAGAATTGTAAAAAAAACGGGTAATTGAGTGAGTGAATGAGTGAGTGAGCGAGTTTTTAAATAAATGAATGAAGAAATGAATGAGTGAATGAGCGAACTAGAGTGTATGTGGGTGTGCCGATGTGAAAAATCAATGAAGTCACTTCTCCCTTTCGTGGATTAGTAGTCTCCGTAAATAGACACGACAGTTACCGAGTGCAACACACGCGCGCACTCACACGCGCGCACACACACGCACACATACTTGCATTTACATTGTTTTATGTTTGTGTGAATATGTTTTTTTATCTTTTTAAAATTTGTATTTTAAAATATAAAACTTCCCGTGCTAAAATCGTCATTGTTTAATATTTATATTTATGTACTTTATCGTTAGACTGATCTTAAAAATTTATGAGAATGACCATTGTGTTTGTATGTGAACAATGAAGGTATCTCATTTATATCGTGCCTTCTAATACATTATTATCTCACAAACTAGAGAGTTAAACAATCATTCCTTCCATACATCATTCAGAGAGTTACCAGTTCAATCAATAAGCCAACCAATCAATCAATCAATAAACCAATCAACCAACCAATCAATCAGTAAACGATTTGATGAGCCAATCAATCAATGAGACATTGCTCTTTGTGGATATCGAAATAATTAACAACTCACTGTTGCTAAGTTATTTGAAGTAAATTGCTAACAATCAAAACTTGACAGGTTCACGCACACATGTACAAACTCGCACACACACACACACACACACACATACGCACATTCACGTGCGTTTGTATTTACAGTTTCATACAACGCGGTATGCAGCGTGCCCACGCACATAACGTTTGCGTACGGTGATAATATAGGACGAGCGCTCAGAAAGATGCACAAATCACACACACCTGCATGAGTGGAGCGTACAACAGATGTGGACGGATGTACATTGTACACACATATCTGTAGAGACCTAATCGACAACTAATGTCGATATATATGTCTATGAATTGTTATAAATATATGAAGGTTTTTATATTTGTATGTATTTGCGTGTGCATGTGTGCGTATATATATGTGGATGTACTACATATATTAAATTGATGTGCTTGGTTTTACGTAAATTTATACACACATACACACAGTACACGTACAACACATAAATAAATATGTATACTATACACGCATACATAATTCGACATTGCCTTTTGGTGTTAAAATTATTTTTCTGAAATATATCTCTCTCTCCCCTGTTCTAGCGCGTGTTGCATTTTCAGTTTCCATCCTACAACAATTTCGTCGCAGTGTCGCATTTCTGATTTTCTTCATCACGCCATCTAACAAAATTAATTATCACCGCCCAGTATGCTCATTGTGTGACATATGTAAGCTAAGAAAAGTTAAGAGAACTAAGAAAGATGGCTATTTCGAATAACGTAACTGAAGATGCCTACTTTGGAGACACTGTCTACAATATAATAGTTTGCATAAATGCTATTAGGTTTTTAGGTTTTAACTACATATATTTAACTATTTATTTTAATTAATTAACAAAAGTGATCTTATTTTCATCTACTTTGGTTTGATTAACTGATGCAAAAATTGTTAAAACTAACTCATAAAAATAAAATAAAATTTTAAAAAACCGCTACCAACACAGACTAACACAATCAATCCAACCTAAATTATTGAAATGGTAACACGCACTAGCATTGTTCTATTGTTAAGCCGGTGCTTTGTTGTTCGCTGTTGTTATCTGACTACTACTGCAGTGCAGGCTGATTCGTGCTTGCCATTGTATGTACGTGTCTACTGCTTATGTCTATGTCTTGCTGCCTCTCTCGTTCCGTTCCAGAAGCTAGATGTGAAATGATGAGAGATGGTATAATAAATAAAGAAAATAAGAAAAAAATTAAAACGAGAGAGAAAGAAAAAACAAGAGAGAGAGAACGTAAATGAAAAAAAAGAAAAAAGAATTTAAAGAGAGAGAGAGAGAGAGAGAGAAAGTGCTAGCGAGAGAAAACGTAAATAGAAAGATCAGGGGAAAACGAGTTCAACTGAGAAAACGAATAAGAGAGATATTGACTAAGAGAGAGAGAGAGAAAGAGAGAGAGAGATGTTCCCGCTTATTTTTTATGCATAATATCCACAATGGCAGGAATAATTTGATGTTATTGTATGTAGGCACGGCAATTCCGGCACGGAGATGTATTTAATGAAAAATACTGATCATAAGTAACACGTATGGTGTTAGTTTTTTAAATGTTGAATGACGTTAACTAAATATGTTAGATAAATATTTTGAAACTAGTTTTTAAAACTATTATTAAAAAAGTTCAGCCTATTTAGATACGTAGGGAACAAGCGTTGGAGCTGCAGTTGTCCACGAAAGAATTTTTTCTTCAAAATATTGTGTAAACTTTTGTAAATTTTCTAATCCTTTTGTTTAAAATCAAAAAGTACCTCATGTTTTTACATAGACATTAGAAATGGCTTTTCATTTTCAGCCAATAAACCGTAACCGAATTTTATTTATTTTTTCTATAACCTTAACCATAAACCGAGAGTCGTCAGATTTCAAATATCCTGCCAGGCTAAACTATATTGGCTGCAACATTTATCTTAGAGACTTTTGAAAATTGTTATTTGAAAAAATTTAGTCAATATTTTAAAATGTTCTTTTTCTGAACGTTTTTATCTAGGCAAGCATAGGCAAGCGTTTTCAGCTGTAAATGCAAATCATCAGAAAAGTCAAGAAAAGATGCAAATTTATCTGAAAAATTGCATGAATATGCAAACAGTTGATAGTGTGATTTGATCTACGTACGTTGTTCTTATATGTCATTAATTCATTAATGCAACACACAGACACACACAGACACACACGCGCGCATACACAAACACACGCACACACACACATTTATACTATCTGTCTCTAAATTTTTCTTTAAATAATGTTAACAAAGTAATAATTAATAATATAGATTAATAAATAATATAATTTAAGGCAAAATGACGATTGCATGGTCGGTTGTTTGAATAAAAAGACAGTAACATAGGCAAACATCATCAGTGTATTTGTATAGTATTAATCTTATTAGTATTGATATAATCAGGTTACGAGTGCAGAATTTTACTTCATTCGTACTAAACCAACTCTCTTGTTGTATGCATACGCAGACATATAAATAAAAAAATCTCTTGAAAGATTTTTCGACCTTAAAAAATTTAAATAATCTTGAATTTTATTGATGTGTTTGTTTATAGTTTAGATTAATATAAAATAATGTAGCCACGGTTATACATCGAAGAGGAATTTTCGTACAGAACTGAGAACTGTTGCTTTATAAACTTCTCGTAAACATTCAAACTGCTATTGTTGCTATGTAAACTTGTTTATATTATCAATATTATAATTATAGAATGAAATTGTTTCAAAGTATTTGCCGAACTGCACAGTAGACACATGCAGTAGACACATGCATGTGATGGGATACATTTTATAACTGGCGAATGCGATATACGATGCGGAGAGGCACTGCAGCGGCTTCTTATTCAAAGCATCGTGGCAAGCAAAACTGATTGCAGA